GACAGTAGTTTAACAGCAGCAGTGCTGCAGGCGGAAGAAACGTTTAACAAAAGAAAAAGAATTACCGACGAGAACACATTCTTTGTACCGTATAAAGCTAATACTGTTACATTTGGTAGGAACAATATGAAAAGTAAACAGAACTTACGGTGCCGTCTTGCTTCCGCTGTTGTCCTGAGAAACTGCCCCGGGATGTTTCCTTTTCAAATGCTCGTGCATGGTGCTGTTGTGAAACGCCATTTCTGCTTGGCAGAGCACCATGTTGTTTGGTATCTGTTTAAAATACTGCCAAACCTTTGATGACCGCAGTCGCGGTATTTTCGCGTTCCCCGGACACGCCATGCTGCTAGTGCTATGTGTATCTATGCTCGCGTTACTGCCTACTTCCTACTTATCTTCTTCTGCGTCCTTTTAAAGGGCGGTTGGCATCCAGCTTTTGGCGCATTACCGCCACCATCTGCTCTGGAGTGTGAAACTGAAACTTGTCTTACAATTTTTTTTTTTTTTGTTTCCTACATATGACAAGTCGACAATTAATATGCAAATCGACTAATTATCATAATCGATTAAGTCGAATAATCGCTATAGCCCTAATGTCAGGTAAATCTGGAAAACACACTGACACAATCATGCTTGCACTTATTTTATCAAGTTCTAAGACCTGTATTAAAATAATCACCCTTGTCTGCCTAGCAGGGAGAATCAAACCTGAAAGCGCATGTTATCAATTGCAGCTACACTGTCTGGGTACAGCAGCAGGACTTATATGGCATAGGTTATATGATAAAGCATGTCACTCAGTGCCAAGCAGTTTTTAGGATAGTATTTCTAACTTTGGACAGTGGATTGATACAGCTCACCATCTCCAAGCTGATGGGCAGGCATTCCTTGTTTTGATGCCACATATGACATTGACTCCACTTTTTATTTTAGTTTTGTATATATCTGGAAAACTGCATCTAGACTGTGTCTATGTATGTTTGTATATTTGTAAGTACTTTTTCTAATGCACATTCCTTTTTCTTGTTTGCACATTCTTTTCTTTTTTGTTTTCTCTTGTCTACTCATTGCTTAATGGAAGAACATTGTACAGACACACTGAGAGCCACTGTAACAGAGTCAAAAGTGTCCGACACACCTGGCCAGTAAAGCTGATTCTGATTTGTCTAATGTAGACTGACAGTAGAGCTTGTCAGAGTGACCTGTGTTATGGCACTTTGGGCTGGCTGCCAAACCGGATGGAGGCTCATTTAGGAATGGAAACAGGTGGCACCCTTCTGCTCACAGAAATGTAGCAAATCACAAAGAACTCGCAGAGGTCAGGGTAACTCCATAGTCCACGTGCTTCTTCATATTTCTGCTGAAGCACTAAAACCCTTCACTCAAGCTAAGCCTAACAGCCACATTACTAGATTGATTTGGCCTAAGCTCAACAGCAATGGGCTTTATTTGAATATATCAGAAGTACAGAGGTGTTTTCTCAGTGGACCCACGCTATAGTCAGGGGAGTGTTAACCAGTCTGACTCATGGCTCTCTTATAGACCAGCTCCTATGAGGTATGGAGAGCCTAGCAAGCCTCCTGTGTGGGTGACTAAGCCCACAGTTATGCTGGAAAAGCTGTCTATTTAGCCGACTGAAGCAGGAGCTGCCATGTCCTCCCAGCCTCAGGAATGTGGAGGTGTTAAAGCCTGAAAGGTGTACTTGAACAAAAAACAGCATCACATGTGTTAACACTCTGTCTGAAACACTCAAAGTATGTCAAGCTGAGGTAACATAGTAAGGGTTGGGCTGACTGCATGGTGGCAGTTTCAGCAGTACTGTTTACCTATTTCCAGCTGTAGTTTCAACGGGTAGAAATACAGGGTTTTTCCTGCCATAGAAAGGCTTAGGTGCAGCGCCTGTGTGTTTTTGCGGAGAGCCTAAGCCGAATGAATGTAAAAGGCAATAAATCACAATATTAAAACAACTGAGCTGTTTGCACTGACAACTAAAAGAGAGGTGATTTGATCTGAACATGAAAAGTAAGATGGCAACAGGATTGACCTGTCAATCAACAATCAGTGCTTGGATGAACATTTGTGTGATTGGCAGCATCTCCAAGCTATTCAAACAGCTGACTGGGTATTTCTCTGTACCCTCAACTCAGGACAGTAGTTACAGCTATCTATAAGGTTAGCCTCCATAAAGAATACATGAAGTAGGGGGGTAATTCTTGTGAATGGTAACAGAGATGGCAGAATGTGTGTAGCTTGTTTTGTAACAGTAAAGAAATAGCTAACACGTACTGAATTAGCTAAGTTACATTAGCCAAGCAAGCTAAAAGAAACACCAAAACCATCTAACATCCCGGGGAAAACCCTGGAATATGTCAGTTATCTCTTTAAACAGTGGAGAAAGTTGCACATTGGATGTGTTATGTGGCCTCTAGATACAGTATATAGGCTTATAGGTCAAGCACAATTTAAGCCTGTGAAGCAGGTATTAATACCTTTAGCGAAGGTTGTCTAACAAGATTGTGACAAACAGTGTATGGTTAATAGGGGTGTGGCGATACACTTGGCTTACAAGATGAGACAATACACGATATTGGGTTCACGAGACAATATTTAACACTTTTAAAAAAAAAAAAAGTTCAGTGGTGAAATAAATCACTGGAAAAAGTCTTATTTGACTGAAAGTCACAAAATGCAAAGCAGCAGTTTGAAATGTTTTAACTAATCATCAATCAAGATAAAAGGCAAAGAGTGTAACTAAAGCCTTTGTTTTTGCAGAGCTTTGTTTGACTATGATCGAACGAGGGACAGCTGCCTGCCCAGCCAAGGCCTGAGCTTCTCTTATGGGGATATCCTCCACGTCATAAATGCTTCTGATGACGAGTGGTGGCAGGCGAGGCTGGTCACACCACATGGAGAGAGTGAGCAGATTGGGGTCATTCCAAGCAAGAAAAGGTATGCGCACACTTCATTTGTACTCATGGCCTACAAAGCTAATGTGACTATCATTCATGCTCATCCTAGATGTTTTAGTGTGTGTGTGTGTGTTTATTCTTTTTTTTTTATCTTTATTTTTTTACAGAGTGGAGAAAAAAGAGCGGGCCAGGTTAAAAACAGTCAAGTTCCATGCCAGGACAGGCATGATTGAGTCTAACCGGGTAAGTGTGGAGAGCCAGCTGCTCCCTGCCCTGGTCTTCAGAGCAGCCACTGGGCTCCCAGGGAAATGGCCTACATCCCCCTGAGTGTGGGAAAGGGATTGGCACTTGCTCACTGAAGCGAGCACAAATAGAGCTCATATTACTGTATAGATTACACAGAAACTCTGTGGAGATGAGAGTTCTCTGTAACCTCAACTGAAACATGCACAAATTGTCTTTGCTTTTGTCAGAGGCTGATCTGTCAGATGTAATTTGCAAAAATGTTTATCCGCTGTAATGTGTCTGTGTCATCTGTTATGCAAGGAGATTGGATTTACTGAAAATGGTTTATGTTTCAGTTGGTAAACAGAAGCCTGTTTCCTTCACATTGATATGCCATTCATTTTCACCCATTACCTGCTTCTCATTTTCATTATTTGATGTATATTGTTTTACATTTCACTTTTTTTGGCATGAGTGTTGAGTACCTTCATTGAAACCCATTTTGTTTTTTTTTGTTTTGTTTTTTTTCCACCCTCCCCCTCCCCCTTCTCACCCACACATCAACAAGCAGCCAGTCAAAGTAAAGCGCAAAAAAAGCTTCAACCTCTCACGCAAGTTCCCGTTTTACAAGAGCAAGGAGAATATTGTGCAGGAGATGGAGTCTGAACGTGAGTACCAGCTGTGTGATCGCGGGGGGGGGGGGGGGGGGGTGTTTTTCATCCTTTTTCCCCTTCATGCTTCAGTCCTGTCTTTCATCTTTCATCTTTCTGCTCACATCCAGAGAAGGTTTGTGTGATGGCACCGCTCTAATCCTTTCCTCGCTGTCCCAGAGAGATGCCCCACACACTCAGTCGGCACCAGGCTGGAGATGTGGGGTTCTCTCTGGTGTGTGGGTGCGTCTGTCTGTGGGCTCCAGAGGAGTGTCAAGGTGTGTGTGCTGCCAGCTGCGTGTTTGCGTGCAAGTTCTTGGCTGCATTTATTCACAGTTCTTCTAGTACTGTGATGCTATTCCCTGTGTAAGTCCTGATCAATTTTCCAGTCAGTCACTGACCCACAACAAGAAGAATCTCATTAACCCAGCTTTAAAGTCCGATTTTAATGAGATTGGGCTTGTGTAATTGAAAGGCTGTGGCTTACTATGAACAAAGTGCAGCTCGGGCTTAATGAGTACAGCACAGTGCCATGTTATCAGTGGGCCTGGCAAGCACTACACAGCACTCCTCTCCCTCTCTGCCCCGACTCTCACTAACCTCTTCTTCTTCCTGTCTGCTCTCTTCTCTTGGTTTCTGCTCTCACCTGTCGGGACACCTAGGACTTCCCAGGGTTAAGCGATGACTTTTATGGATCAAAGAGTTTGAGTAAGTGCGTGGTTGTACTGTGTCAAGCAGCTACTACCCCCGAGCTCAGAGAGAAAATGCTTTGTCACTGCAGACCCAGCTGGGAATGTTAAACCACACATTTAGTGTGACACACACACCTACTCAGATTCACAGTACATATGTAATGTGCATTCCCACGGGAGGGTGAGTGAGCATTACACTTATTCTGAATGTCTCCTGGGATCTTAACAATAAATGTTTAGCAGAGTTTTGTCAGAGAAGGTCACACAGAGATGGAATGTATCTGTCACCAGAGCAAGATGTTGCTATGCCTGGTTGGAAACACTTTTCCTCCAGTTCCCCTGAGTCAGCCAGCTCCCGCCTCCCCCTCCTGTGGACAGCCTAGCACTTGTATGTTTCGTCTTTTTCTCTGATAGGAGATCTGTTGCTGCAGGCACAGATCAAGCAATAGGAAACGGTGGCCAGGGAATTGTGGGTCACTGAGGATAATGTCACAGGAAACACTTAATTTCCTATTGCTTGCAACTAAAACCACTTCCCTAATATTGCGAGAGCATGGCTGATGCACAAAACTTCTGCTTTCTTAATCCCCTTCTTTTTTATGGCCTAGTTGTCGAGAAACAGAGTGTTTTTTTTCCATAGGGCTGTTGAGGCAGGTGAAAATGATTTTCACCTAGAACGAGAATTTATTTGAATTTAACTGTGGCTTTACTGTTTGAGATTATCTGCAACTTGCTCTCTCTCATGCTGTTACAGAATGCCTGACATCCAACACAAGTGACAGTGAAAGCAGTTCGAGTGAGTCACCTTCATTTCTCATGGTCTTTGTGGCTTGTTTTACACTGCCCACATAGATGATTAACATGGTCCGTAAATATACTTGTGAAATTATACCTGTAACTTAACAATCCCCCTTGCTGTTGTTTTTTTTTATTTTATTTTATTTTATTAGCCATAAGAATTTCATGACATTTCTTTAAATGACAAGTTTGTCTTGTGTTGTTACAGAGGGACAGGAGGACACAATTCTTTCCTACGAGCCAGTCATTCGACAGGAAAGTGAGTGACTTGCTTTTCCGTCAGTGGACATGAATTCATTACTGCCTTATTCAACGACCTGTGTGCATCTGTGGAATCGCAAACTGTAGCTGCCACCCAAGATTTTTCTTGTGCAGAAGTTGATTTAGCTGCCTGATCTGTTGCACTACTGTTAATAAGAATCATCTACATCTTCCTCTAGACAGAAATATCACTGTTTTAACATTATCTTCTGCAGAGCAGGACATTGACTCTGTGTGAACAAAAACATTTTTTACTACTTGGTTAAAACCAAGTTCTTTTTGAAGGATAGACAACCCATATTGCCCTCCCTGCTGCTTTTTGCTTTTCTGAACACAGGCAGCCAGTATGCACCTCCTTCATGCAGGTCGTGAACCACTGCAGGCTGTGATTTGTCGGGTACAAACATGTCGTCTTGTCATATCCCAAGTTATGATGAGAATCAACACAGCGTCCATCTTATCTGATAAAAACGTGTAGTCTGGACATGGCATTAAACCAAATTTCTAAACATATTTAAAACTAAAATTTGTTCATTTAAAGAATAAAGTGCCAAATATCACTGAGTCAGATGATGGGTAGTATGTTTTAACATTTGTCCTCCTTTATCTTCTTTGTCTCCAATGCAGTTCACTACACAAGGCCTGTTATCATTTTGGGGCCAATGAAGGACAGAGTAAACGATGACCTCATCTCTGAGTTTCCCCACAAGTTTGGCTCCTGTGTACCCCGTGAGTTGACAGCACGCAACATCTCTGCACGGTACATCAAATTTTCCTGCTGTGACAAAAATAATAACAAAAATCCGTTCCATTCTGCAGATACGACTCGTCCAAGGCGAGAGAATGAAATGGATGGCCAGGACTACCACTTTGTGGCCTCAAGAGAGCAAATGGAGAAAGACATTCAAGATAATAAATTCATTGAGGCTGGCCAGTTCAACGAGAACCTCTATGGGACTAGCATCTTGTCTGTGAGAACTGTGGCTGAGAGGGTAGGTGCCAAGACATAGGATTGGCTGTAACCAGAGGCATGTTAGGTCGTTTGATAAATTAGAAAGAAGACGTAAATAATGTTCCACCTCGACTTTTCCCAAACGTCATATCAGTTTGCACCACTCATTTTTACAGGATCCACTATCAATCCTTCATGAATATGTGCCCTGCTTGTGTGACACAAATGTGTAGTATTTCTAACAAGGCGTACTGTACCTACAGGGGAAACACTGCATTCTGGATGTGTCAGGGAATGCCATCAAACGACTGCAGCAAGCACAACTTTATCCAATTGCCATCTTTATTAAACCAAAATCCATTGAAGCCCTAATGTAAGTTTGAGCTTTTATATACTGTACATTGTAATGAAGACAAGTGAATATGGGGCCTGTGACAGTAACATGAACTGTTTGTCTTTTTTCAGGGAAATGAACAAGAGGCAGACGTACGAGCAGGCCAATAAAGTCTTTGACAAGGCAGTTAAGCTGGAGCAAGACTTTGGAGAGTATTTCACAGGTTAGTCTCACTGCCCTTGTAGTTCCCTAATTAGTTAGGTAATGATTTAAAAAAAAAAAGCAATGAATTGATTATGAGAAATCTTGTGACAGATGAATCAGCCAGCCATTTTAACTCCATTTGTTTTTGTTTTTTTTTAACTTGTCAGATAATCATATGTACATGTATAGTGCAAATTCATAACAGCCGTCTCAGGGCAATTAGTTAGCTGCATCAAAATTGATTTTTTATTTTTAATTATTATTATGAAATTGGTGCCTTTTGATGCAGTTAAATTAGACAGTTACCGGACTTTGATAGAACACATTGCCACTTCTACAAGGACTCAGCTTGTTTCGTTTCGTTAATTACTCGACCAGGTGCAGGCTAATTAACTCGAGAGGTTTCACCTGAATACAGCAGTTGTACTGTGAGATTGTGACACTGATGAAGGCCAGATGGCCAAAAACCTTCTCTTCTTGCAGAATAAAGTGATTTCTTGATATTGTGTGTAATCCTAATTTATGTTTACCAGCAAATATTTGCCGTTTGTTTGATTTAAACTTAAATGATTCATCAGTTATCAAAATGATTTATCAATTTTCTCTCTACTTATGGATTAGCTGGCGTGCTCTTTCAGCTCCAGTTCTGACGTCTGATGTTTTGTGTTTGTGTTGCCAGCTATCGTACAGGGTGACTCACTAGAGGAGATCTACAACAAAATCAAGCTCATCATTGAGGAGCAGTCCGGACCCTACATCTGGATCCCCTCCTCAGAGAAGCTCTGAGCTCCCTGCTGTCCCCTCTGCGTCGGCGCAGAGCTCCTGTCCTGCCTCCCAGAGACCCCGCCCAAGCCCAAATAGCCACCCCCACACTCCTCCTCCTCACCTCCTTTTTGCAGATATGTTTCATATCAAGTTTTAGTGTCATCATTATGTTACTCTCTAAATGAAAAAGAAGTCTTATCGCCATTATTGTCTGTGCACACCCCTGCATGAGTTTCTCAACAAATTCATTCAAGACTGGAAATGCCATTCCAAAGGAATTTGTCAAATGTGAACAAAATTGAAAAGGGATAAATCCTTTTGTGAACTGGGACTGACTGAACATCAACATGTTTGACAGAAATCTGAAGAGAGGAATTGGGATTCAAAAAGACGTTGCAGGGGAACAGAGACAAATCAAGTGGGAACACTTTGTAAATGTTCATCAAATCACGTTTCAAAAGATGGGCAAGATGAGAAGTCGAAAAATTAAGGATTTTTTTTCCCTCTGAAAAGACTGGATAAAATCAAGCCCTGCTGATGGTACTGTTCAAGGAGTCATCTCTGTTGTTTATAATGACTGAGGAAATTAATGGAGGAGCCTACAAACTGGTGATGTATTTATCACAAACCAGCTTGCTGTTTGGTCGTCTGCCAGTTGTCTGAGCTGATAAGACATCTCGGGAGGCAGATCAAGAGGAAGAAATGTGTTGTGAATCTACATTTATATTATGAGATCACAAGATAAATGATAAAATCCTACTGAGATTATCCTACATATTAAAAACTACACATTTTACACTTCACTAGAATTGTCAATTTGGAGGGCTGTTAGAATTCATCTTTTTTTTTTTTTTTTTTTTTTTTTTTTTTTTTTTTTTTTTTGGGGTTTTTTGGTTTTTAGCTGCTCTGCGTAAAGGATGGGGGTAGAGAAGTGTAACTGGGCTCTCTGCAAAACACCAAACTGCCTTACATCAAATACAAATTCTGTTTTGTGACTACCTGTTGTCTGTGAAGGAGGCTGCACACAACCGATAAGGAAGAGAGAGGAAACCTTCTCATCTTTCCTTTCTCTTTGTGTCTCCTCCAATTGCCAGGAGGCCTGACTCGAGTGCAATATACTAAACAAAGTCTCACTTCTGTTGGCACCTTTTCTCCCCCATGTTTCAGCCTTAATTTGGCCATTTGATTACAATTTGGACAGCCAGAGCCTCCTAACTCATGTTGAGCAGCAGACCACCCTATTACACTCTCTGCCTTCCAAAAGGATTCTCTTCTGATTAAATGGTCACATGGTACTGTCCTATCTGCCACCGTGACAGTGGCATTAAAACAGGTAGAACAAGACAATAATTGTATTGGATGTCCTAACAATTAAAGAGTCAGTATAACCTGTTATGAATTGTCCCCCTACCAAAAACGACACTGAAGTTGGGTTTGATTAAACCTATATGCTTTGTGTATCTATAAACTTATGAACTGAGTCTGTTGTTGGCAGGTGCTGCACCACTGTGTTGAGCTCTTAGTGTGTCTGGGGTGAGCTAGACCAGCTCAGGAATTTTAACGTACAGATACCATTTCCCCTGCGACTGAAAGGCTATGTTCAGGCGATGACACGAAGGCTTCAAAGCACGAACAAGTACTCGCGGGCTCAGTTAAACAGTGTAATCAGGTTTTATTACGTGTCTTCTCTTTTTTCATGAGGCGGGGAGTTTGTTGAAGGCCATCAGTGTGATAACCTTTGAAGGTAGCTGTGTTTTGGCATCGCCAGGATGGAATCTATCTGTCCCACCCTCCCATGCAGATCGTGTGCATGTGAGAGGGCACACTTGAAGAAAGAACACTGTGGCCACTGATCCTGTGAACGTTTTCGCTTTCCTCCTTAGCTTTTTATTAAAGAGTACAAAGGATTTTTTTTTTCTCCTCCTCGGAGAGCCAGACCGAACAGGAAGTGGTAACCTAGACCTCTGGGTACCCTGCGCTCTCCCACCCACAGAGCACCTGTACCTGCAGGCATCTTCTGAACAGGTGTGCCCACCTGCCAGGCACCACTGCTAAACCAGCTGTCATTACCTGCGTCAAAACCAGAGTTCAGGGAATAACTGAAGGGATCAGAGCCATTTATAAACTGCTTGCAGACTGTTTCAAAGGGTGTGGTAGCTGTACAATGTAAATAAGCCCCCAGCAGATTCCCCCTCACCTGTGCTTCATGCATGTGTGAATCAGACTGGGACAAACATGTTTTATAGACCACAAATGTCAGGTAAGTAAAGTTTGAGCTACTCTTGAGATATAATTTTTCCATACAGATGTGCTGTATTGTTATTTCTCTTCAAATGCCTATCAGAACACTTAACTAGTCAGTTGGGAACACCGTTCTCTCAAGTAGGGCCTGTCTACATGTGATTTCTTGTGGAACGTGTCTGGGTGTATAGATTTAAAAAAAATATATATTGTAAAATAATTTAAAAGATATGCAGGCAGAAACCTACACAATATCAGAGAATTCAGGGGCATTGATCAATACATCATTAGAAGTTTAGAACTGGTCCTCTCTGGTGTTTAGTTGAATACAGCTGACTGTTAACAATGTGTGTGGAATTCATACCTCAGTCAGCCATGTCAAAGCCCAAAGAACTTGATTTCATTTTACACTTTACTTTATGAGGTTGTGGTATAATACAAGATGGAACCTGAATGCCTCTGTGTGTGTGTGTATAACTGAGGGTCTTTGTTCTGATGAGAGAAACGACATATATGCTTTTATTTTTCGGGTGGGAAGGGGTCAGGGTTCTTGTTTGTACTTTTGGGTGATGTTTTATGTTATAGCACATCTGTGCAGTAAGTGCTTGCAAACATGAACCCTTTGATTGTACAGTAGTTTCCTTCCTGTCACTGCAGGTGGTACAGCCTATCAGGACACTTGGCCACATGGTCTTCCTTGTCCTAGTCATGAGGGAACACAGTCCTGCAACTTTTCTTTGGGTTTTATTTTGGGACTTGACAAGAGTTTATTTGTTTGAAAATAAAATATGTGACTCAGTTATGATTTTTGATGTGCTTGTTATTCCACTTTAACCAAGTCAGTGGCTTTGAAAATATTAGAATTATTACAGCTACACTTTTTTTTTTTATAAGAGAAGAAAAGAACATTTTAACTTCGTGAAGACAGTAGAGCGGACGAAATCAAACCAGGAACAACTGTGGTAGTGTCTTAACCACTAGGTACTAGGATGACCCAGTTATACAGAGGGATAGAAACAATTTGTCAAACTGGAGTGTTCAATTAATATTTTACCACAGCATTAATAACATTTACCACAGACAAACTGATGGAATTGAATCATTGTAACTTCATTCTCTGAACAGGCTTTTCACACCAGGCAGAAAACAGCTGACCTGTCCCAGTTTGATTATTCTTCCATGATGTGGTTCTTCTTGGCTTTGTCCAACCTGTCCAAGATTTCGCTGTACAGACCAGACATCTGCAGGTACACAAACAACTAACTTAAAAATCTTGTTTCTCAAAAGTCTAACATGTTTAAACACCTGATTGTACATAGAACCTGTGCAATTCTGTTACCCGAGTCTCATAGCTCTCCTGCAGATATCGCAGGTGGCGGACGAAGCTCATGGCAAGGCCACACCACTTTTCGGCCTCAGGATACTGAGCCAAGCTGTACAGCAGTATCCCTGTGTTCCAAGCCCGAGTCAGCAACCACAGGGTCTCCATCTCTGGGAAGTCATCCGGCTACAGAGAGGAGCAGGAAGATGTTCAAAAGGCCATTTAACGGAGGCCACCTGGGTGACTCACTTGAGCCAAGTGAATAGAAGGAAATTGTGTTTTTTTAGTATGTAAAAGCCTGAGAGTAACTAACTTTCATCCAATCCTGTTCTACTGTTTGTTAACTTACTATGGATCATGAGACTGTAAACAAACCCTAATGTCAAACATTTCTAAAGTTTAATTCATTTTCCACAATACTTTAATCGTAAGCTTTCACTTTGATCCGAAGTATTCTACAGCTTTTGAGTAGTAACTCAATATGAAAGGGGGAATATGCACTGCCTCTGAAGTGATGTAATGTCTCAATAATTTGATGCCTCTTTCAGAGCTGCAGCTCAATGGCAATGTGATGATTTGTACAGCACATTAACATTCAAATTGACAGGAAGGGGTGGTGAATGGAAGCATCTGGTAATTGAAGCGCTGCTGAAAGCCCATTGATAAAGACACTTCTAGAACAGCAGGCAGGCATGGGGTGGAAGAGAGGGTTCTGATTATATAGCTAGAGCAGTTCGGTTGGAACAGGAGGTGGGAGCCAGAGGATGGCGGTGTCTGATTGGCGCTGACTCACTGCAGTTGCAATGATGGACAGGGCCTCCTCGTAGTACTCCCACACCTCCTCAAGCACATGGGCCTCCACCTCTGACACTCCGCTCGGGAGGGACAGCTTGATCAGGCTGTGGACACACTTACTAAGATGGGGACACAAAACAGTTGCATAATCAGAAATCCTTTCATCCTAAAAAGCCCCGGAGCATTAAAGAAATGTCAGGGGCATTTTCATGCAGAGGAGTGATGGGCTTGCCTGCAGCGGGCCAGGTCAGCCTGTGGTTGTTTCTTGTTCAGGGAGAGAGCAACCCTCAAGGCCTTCTTACACAGCAGAGGAAAGTGAGCTGGAGGCTCCATGGCTAAGGCTGCATAAAGAAAACAAAAACACCAGCATACTGCAGATACTGGAATATTTCTGCTTCTTTGGGCAAGGTTGTTTTTTTTGTTTTTTTCCAATTTTGTACCTGCAATGGTCTCCAGCACCTTGGTTTCAACATTTTCAAGCTCCAGGACAGACTCCAGTACTGTCTCAACTTTGGGGTCATTCAGCTTAGCACGAGCTTCAAATTCATACAGCAGCAGCAGTGTATCGGTGGGGTCCTTTGGGAAACTTCCTGCAAGTACATGTTGAGAATAATTTTCTTCAGCTCCATTTCTCTTCATGACAGACTTTTAAAAATTCAGTCATTCTATTATTATAACCTGTGCAGTCTGTTACTTAGTAATTTAGATTGTTTAGCTACTTGAAGTACCTGATGCTTTCAAGGTTTTCCAGACCTCCCAGCAGATCTGAATGTACTCCAGAGCCTGAGTGAGCTTCTCAGTCTGTGATCAAACACTAAACAAGCATTATGGATTTATCACCGCCATCTAGTGTTCAGTTCATCCTCAAAGGCACAGGGATTAAAATGAAACACCTACGCCAGCACCAGTAATGCGGTTAGTCACCTCTCATCACCACTGGACTTGGTAAATTTCCATCTGTGTGGATGGAGAGTGTGCTAAATGTAAGAGATGAGTATAGCGAGAGGGTGGCACACCTGAGCAGCGTAGGGGGACTTCCTGTAGAGCTCCAGAGAGGCAGCAGCAGCCATGAGCAGACATGTCTTTTGGCCCATGAGCAGTGTGCGATCAGGAGGACACATCTGGGAGAGCTAGAGGTTCATGCAGATGCATGACAAAGAAACTATGTATGGCAGTATACCAGGAAAGAATTCTCTCCTCATTCATCAACCACTTTTGATGATTCTCTGAAATTAAGTATTTACATTGCAGTTTCTCTGGAATATCTACACAGTATCCAACAGCAGAAACTTATATGTATAAGGGTGTTAGGCATGAATGCATATATTTAAATCAAGTTCTCTCTCTCTCTCTCTCGCTCAGTTGTTTGGTACAGGTAAGGTCAGAAAGTCAAAGAGCGGAGGTAAAACAATATCCCTGTTCAGATGCTATTGATCTACACCCACATGCTGCAGATACTGATTAATTCACCTGAGAAAACTAATGAGGACACTTGCCTGGTAAGAGAGCACAAAGAAATCTCTCATTCTTTCAGGGTTGCTCTCACACTGTAAAGCTAAGTTCCAAGCTGCAACAAGGACAAACACATACAGATGAAAAAAATAAAGGTGCTGTGACGTTTTAAGTGATAGCACATCACGTCAGATTGGAACAAGGAGAGAACAACTCTTAGTACCAATCTTTCTGAACCAATTAGCTTCTTCTGTGCGTTGCTCAACAGTCATGTGGGACTGGTGTGAAACCTTCTGCAGAGCTGCAGTGAGGCAAACAAAACATGTTTGAGTCATGATGCACAGCAGACACTGAAGTTGATACATCTTCTAAAAATGCAATTTAACCCATACTCACCCATTTTCAGATATGGCAGCAGGACATCCAGATTCACATTTCTACATGGAGTGAAGGTAGTAAATATATATATAGTTTTATTAAAAGCAGTATCAATAACACTATATAACTGCATATTAATTAGGTACTTTTCTTTCCCCTCACCTCATCTCATCACTCAATTTTTCTGTTGTAGTGAGCACAAGTCGAACCAAACACCTATAAAAAGATGAATGGAGAAACTGGTGTTGACCTTTCTTTCACCTACTAACTGTATTATAGAGAGACACATTTTCAAAGGAGAGGCAAGTAGGTCACTGGATCATAGAGGTGTATGGAAAACTAAGAGATGCTACAGTATCTCCGCATATAAGCCAGCTCTGCTAAATGTTGTAACTTTATATGAGAAACTCTGCCATCATGTTTTGTTAACAGTGTCAATATATAAACATGGACTGTTCTGAAAAAGATTAAATAATAATTTTATAAGTGCAATTCATGAGTCAGTATGTTCAAAGAGTTGTCAAAAACTAAACGTTGGTGTAAGCAAACTGATTATTCTTATCTTAGACTGTAGCCAGAAGTTATGTTTGGTCAAGACAAACTGTAATTTTAAAAAATGATAAGGAAAAATATCACAGAAAAAAAAGATGGACACCAGCAATTGTGTATGCAAAATTACACCTTCTATAACTGAAAAGGCACATTGATTTCTGTGAAGCACACTGATTTCCCAAACCTGAGAGCTGTCAGAACCTGAGCTTCATCTTTAGAGGTTTCACATAAACTCTCCAGTGCCCTCATTGCAGTCTCCTGCTGTTCATTCTGTCAAAAGGAAACAAACATAATACCTCCCCCCCACCTGTCATATTCATCACAACCATACAGTCTTACCAAAGGTAGGATCATATCCTAAACCTTACCCTCAAACCTTACTGGCATCTGGTTGCTACACAGTCTGTTTGCTTATGCTAGTTTGGGAACGAGTCTGTCCGCTAAGCTGTTTTTAAAAATTATTTTTATATCTTATAAATATTACGGTTAAGTGGAATTCTATACGACAATCATCAACATCAAAATTTGTCTATGCTTATCTATGTTTATCTGCAATAGGCCTGGGGAGGTGGTAGACAGTAAAGTTCTGTCTCTGATCCACAGTGAGGAGCTTTTCCTGGAGAGGTGTATCAAAACCAAATATACTGTATTTCTAATGCCAGCCCCTTCTATACAGATACCTCCACCAGCAACTACGAGTGTATGATCTCTAATCAACCCCCCACCGATACATACTGTCACTTGTGTTAAATTGAGCATTTGGCACAAACAGTGAAGTGCCCAATAACATCATAAAAGTTTAAGACTGGGGAATGTGATAAGAATTCCACCAGACCAAAAAGCTGTTTTCCCATTAATTCCACAAATTTTACAACTGGTGTTCAGAACCGAGTAATGCATCCTACCTCCAAAGCGATCTGAGCAGCCAGACTGAGGAGATTGGAAGCTGCATTCTCAGCTACCAGCAGTGTGTCTTCATCGGCTACAGGGCTCTTGGACAGAAGTCCCATTGCACTCACTGCCTCTGCAGCTGACACAAATACACAACCTCATCACCACAGCTGAAAATGTAGCTGTAGTGGAACTGCAGCAGTATTCTCTTACTGTATATGAATCACAAAGCTACGTTTTGTAGATACCTTTCTTCACATTGTTCTCCTGCACTGCAATCCTGTAAACACTGAACTGAGTGAAAATGTTGTCAGGATCACACCTCTCTGCTTCTTTAACTGCTTCCTTCGCCTGATAAAGATGAGTTTTTATATACATGTAAACATATATTACATGCATAAATTGTAAAACCTGGCAGGAGCACTTGTCACTGTGGCTTGTGACATAAACTACCTGATGCCTTTTGACACACATCACCTATTGCAGCCAATGGATAACAAATGTATTTCCCTGACTTGCTCTTGTGTGTCCTGCTGTCTTACCTTTTCCATTTGCTTTAGATGCAAGAAACAGGAAGCTCTGTTCCTTTGCAGTTTGGCTAAGTTGGGCTCCATTTGACCTGACTTATAGAAACTCAGGGAGTAATTATACCACTGCAGAGCCTCAGAATAGTTCCTGGCCTGGAAAGACACATAAAAGTTATACTATATCACTCTGGGACTAAGACCAGTTCTGAGGCCTGCACTTTCTTCAAAGGGAGTGGAGGAGCATTTCAGACATGCATATCTTTGTGTTTTAAGGAAATTGTAGCACCCAAAGGAAACACTAACAGAAAAACACAGAGAGAGGTGGGTCAACTGCAGTGAGTGATAACTATACATACCAGTAAAGCTTTGTTTGGCATACCTCAAAGTGTTTGGACGCTTTATCCCATAGGATGACATGAAGGTTTGTGAGGGCCTGTGGAGTCAGCTGTTTTCCTGTATAATGGCCTGTGTGGGAATAAACTATTTTAATGCTTATACAGAGGCCCAGGTACAGTGTATTATGAACTATAGAATTCATCGTGTCATCTCTATTAAAACAAGACTTATTCTAGGATGGAATGAAAAATTCTGTACCAGTGATAATATCCTCTATCTTCTGTTTGCCCAGCAGCTCCTTGCCTCTCTGCAACAGCAGCTCCACATGCAGGATAAGTGCAGTTCCCAGGTCAGGGGACAACTCAAAGCGCTGGCACACACGTTTCAAATACTCAAATGCCAGCACTTCTCTAAAAAAATCCAAACAGATATTATTCAGAGTTGGACAGTATGTGTTTGGGAATTCTTACACAAAAAATGTGTATATGTGCACATATTAATGTGCAGATGGGTGTGTGTGTGCAAAAAGTGAGTATCAATGAAGATGCTAAGGTTTTACCTGTCTTCAGACACGAGTAGTTTCACTGTGCTCAGACACACTTCAAGAGAAACCTCAGATTCCAGCATCTCATTAAGTCCTGAAAACATATATCTATGATCTGCTTTCAAATGTGCATTTTAACTTTGCTAAAATAAGCCATAGATTCTCATTAACACGTATGAAAACCCCAGTACAAATACAATCTTCTACTGCTGGAGACAAAGCAGCTCTACTGGAACATATGACTTGACTTGTAAAAGCCTAGGGTAGTTACACCACTGTAGAGACTTGGAATATTTCCAGAACATTAAACTCATCAGCAGCCGTTTTGGAGTTTTTATGAACCCACCTTTTTCCAGTAGCTTCAGAGAATCAATCTCACATTTTATTGTTGAATTTCCTTCTCCAACCTCTTAGACACTGTCGCCCCACTGCTGCCTATCTTAATCAAGTTCTGTATAAATAATTCAGTGAAGTCTGGAAATAACTAACCTGCTCTGATACGATCATCTGAGGCCCCACATCTCAAGAGTATTCTGATCTTTAAGTACAACCCAGAGACACTCATGCATTCCTGTCAAATTGCACAGTGCAATTAGGTATAGAGAATCCAAGCTTTTTTAATACATGCTTCAAAATACATACGTAAATTACAGTATGAAAATGATTTTTACCTTGTTGGCTAAGCTGACGGCATTAAGAGCCTTCTCCTGAAACCTCTGACAGTCATCAGGTCCGGGGGCGTATCTCACATTCATTTTCCCAATGTCATAGCTTTGACTGAAAAATAAAAAAAGTCCCTTTCCCAATGCATTGATTCTTAACACTTCTGCAGAAATTAATTACAGTAATTAAACAAATGGATTTACCTCAACCAAAAGGCACTGTCTTCAAATTGTCTCAGATTGTAAGTGTCTATTCCAAAATTGTAGCACATAAGGGAGAGGTATCCAGTCTGCATTGAGAAAATATTTTTACAGTTAACATCCTACACACTTTCACCAACAATATGTATTGAAAATGTGAAACAACAATTTGTAGACTTCAATGTACGTCTTTTGGTAGCCGCTGCAGCATGTCTCTACAGCGCTGCATATAGATCACTGCATCATGGTTATTTCCTTGACTTAAAGCCTGCAAAGAAGAGGAGACTTGAACTTTCTATTACATGTCAGAAAACAATAACATTCCCTATAATTTAGCACAGAATGAGATTTCCCCTTCTTATTGTTTCTCAGTTCACGTTAGCTGTCTCACACTTCACACTACAAGTCTGTCAGAACAGCACTTCCTCAGCTGCCAAATATCACAAGAACAAATATTCACATTGAAGGTGTTGAACACCACATGCGCCACAGCTCACCGACTCTGCCTGGCATGAAAGAATTCGAAGCAGATCCTTCTCCACATCCCCCTTGGATGAAGTGATGTCAGCTGCTCCATCAGCTCTGTTGGTTAGTTGGCTGTAGAGGGTTTCCAGGCTCTGGGGATATTGTATTTTCCGTAATTTGTAATGACACCATATTTTTGTTTGCTATAAACTTAAACAGATTTAAGCCCTCTCGGTTTGAGTGTTCATTTCTTTCTTCACCTTAACAGCAAGCCTCAAGATGATATCTGCCATCTGGGGATTTTTGCAGTCCAGCCAGGTTCTCCCTGTTTTACTGGCCATCTGTAAAGATCAGACAGTGACAAACAGATCTTGTCCCCTTGAAATGTTGAGCACTCACAAATAGTCCATACATTGTCACATACCAGGATCTGCTTGCGGCTGTTGCCCTCTGTTGGATTGTCAGGCTCACAGCAGTACATCAGGCTGCATGCAACATGACGCACTGCGAGGATGGTGAGAAAATGACATGACTCAACCGTGACTTCCCCACTTGCAACCTCTACACTGTGCCAGCATTTTACATGCCATGTCTCAGAATTTTTAAGTGTCAAGATCATCAGTAAAATTAAATACTGTAATTAGAAGTGTACCTTTGGCTTTCTGATTTTTACTTATAGCGGTGCCCACGTTCTTAGTAACTGCCCAGTTCCACAACTGGATAGCACACTCCTCAAGCTGTAATATCAGCAAGAAATGCAGCTTATAAATTCTGCCAATCTACTGGCCACATAAAGGGGACATACTGCAATGCTATATTAGAAAAAAAACTATCTGACTTAGTGCTAGATAAATTGATCTGATGTAAACCATTATGACTTTGTTAGAGTAGTTGGTGGGATTGTTGCACAAGCAATCCCAGTGAGTCACATTAGCTCACTCTCAAAGGAGTGAAGCACCCTGCCAAGTAGGAATAAGCTTGTTTGCATGCATATGAGAGTAACAGCGCTGCTAAATGTAAGAACTTTGACTATGTTCTAATTTTTAAATGTTGGTTGTTTTACAGTATGTTGCTTCACTTGACCAGGACTGTGGGCTATTGGCATACACTTGCACCTGTGGATCTGGTATTTTGGGGAAATCCTCTAGGCCAGAGACTTCAGAGAAGAGTTTCTCTATCACCTCATCATAATCTGTTGATTGTTTCTGCAGCAAGTTCTCTGTGAGGCCTGGAAATCAAGACATGTTGACAGGACACAAACAAGGCATGGCAAAACAGTGAGAAGTATCGGCAGAGACCGGGGCAGAACATGTAGGGGCGTAACGTGATGCGTTCACTTATGCCCAGTTCTTAAAAGATATTTGACACCCCCAAAAGAGGGTTCAAAAACGTACGTTAATTCTGGAAACCCAAAAGACTTTAGCTAGCCGGCTTGCTAAAATGAACACAAGAAAAGTTTCACTATGCTACTGCACTGTAGGAAGGGCAAATGTTGCCTGGGAAGTAAACAAGTTAGAAAACTTTCATCCGGTAGGGGACACAATCTTGGACATGGTGTAAGATTAACATTAATACTAACATACAAGAGAGGTAACTACACATTGGGACAAGTTAGCTTATCCGAATAAATAAGCTAACCTAGCTAGTTAGTTTTAGCTAAAAGCTAATCATTTATCATTGGAATTCAATGGTGGTTATGCTAACCTAGCTAACGTTAACGTTAGTGACTTTGCTAGCTAAGTTGGAAGTTGAGTAAGGTTAGCTAACTTTAATACCATTTCAATTTGTAGCCAAAACTGTAGAACAAGACTTAGTGTAACAAACAGTCGTTAGACTGAGTGAATAGGATTACTCACACTTCACAGTTGTAACAAACCTCTCCATGTTTTAGGTTTCTCCACTGGAAAAAAAAGACCGGACAGGTTTGATTGACAGCTGCCGCAAAGAACCGCGAAATTTATCCTGGAAGGGAGAAACTTAAAGGCAACAAAATTAAAGTTTGGATTTGGTTCATTTTCAAATACTTAATATGCCCTTGTGGCTTATTTTTACTGACTAACATTGTCCATAATTTGTGTTATTATAACACATAGTGCATTAAGTTACAGGTCTATGTCAATTTTTTAAGCTTTAATTTATAACTACTGTATCTTAAGATGACACTGATTTTCTTTTGCAAATTTCCCTTGTGTAGAAACAGGACTATTTAACATTTTGGCCTGGTGAATAAAACAGCAGAAAATAGCTTTACTGTAATTGTGGGTGCATTACATTTTGGTGTAATTTCAGTAGGCTACTTGCCGGAATGGTGGTTACAGCGGCACACCCACAATTATTAGTTGCACCTGTGCTTTACTCTGTTAACAAGTCAAATGAATCAAAAACCAGTGAACTGCAATATTTTACTCTTTAAGCTACTAAAATTTTCTTTCTAAAAAAATGAAGCTAATCTCCCTGTTAACATGGGCTATTTAATGCAACATCAAACAAACACAGATAGCATTTAAGTACATTTCCCTGTACTGCAGGTACAGTGTGTACTTACATGTGAGCCTCTGCTTTAGGAAACCAATACCCTATTTTTTAAGCAACCACAACAGGCCCATTTTACACATGTAACAAGATAGTTTTGTCAACATGACCGGTCCTGAGACCTTTCCACTTTTAAAACAGCCCAGTAATCAGAGCAGACATGCACATTTACTCTGTTAAAAGAGAGCTCTGTTGTTTCACAACAGAGCCTTCACTAGTGCCTTAAAACTGAGAGCCACTTCTGCTAATTGTGTACATTTTATCTTCAAATATCTACTTTTTCTTGGATTTAAATTATTAACTTCTTATTCATATTACCTTTTTTTCATATTGTCAGTGTTATGCTGAACTTTTGTTGATTGACCCAACAATTTGGATATACAGTAAAGCATAAAATATTTATAAGAAATTATATATAAAATCTTTTGCAGGCAACACAAATCTTGAACTGTGAACCGGCTGCTTGCTTGTCATATTTGATGCATGATTGGTTTCCCAAAATCTTTAGGCTTTTCAGCTAGTGCAGAAAAGCACTAGTCCATGACTCTCTAGCTTAGCAAAGACTATTTATAATATTGTTGTCATGCACAAAATGGTTTTGCTAATGTTGTGGGCTATAAATCAAATATTGCCCACCAATATTTATTCCCATAAATGATATTGCTTTCTTCCAAAGCTGCAGCATAAATGAGCTCTGGAGGCTGACACTGTTTCCGCTCAAGAGCAGTAAAAGGATCAAAAGGACCAACAGAGAGACCCCCTTCTACAAAATCTGCTGAAGAAAAACTTTATTGGTTCATTTCACCAAGGAGACTTTGGTGTTGGGGCAAAAGGAAGTGTGTAGAACCAGTTTGTCCCCTGTAGCACATTTTGGAAACCTGATTCTAAAATAAACACTTTAAATCCACCCCCTCTATTGGCAACTTCCAGCAATTGTTCATCAAGAGACTTATCGGCTGCCCTGTTGACTCACTGGGAATGTCTCCCTTACCAAAGACTTAAATGTGATTATACATTAAGAAAACTGTCGTCGTGGACAAGGCATCTCTTTTGTCTTTTCTTGTGAATTTATTGAGCTAGTTGTCCTCAAAAGCCTATAGTGTATTATCTTTACCAGTGTTTCGCTATTGAGAGTGGATAGCCTGTGTCATGTAGCCATTTTCTTGAGACTGGTTGCTGTTTGAGAACCTTGTCAATGTTGTGTTCATTCCACAATGTAAAAATTGAGAAGGCTGAATTTTCTATTGTTTCACAACCAGAGTGTAACACTGAGTCCAATATCATTTAAGCCTAGAAACAAAGTAAACAAAGACATAAGTCTATGTCTAACCATCCATCCATCCATTATCTATACCACTTATTCCTGAATAGGGTCACAGGGAGTCTATGTCTACTTTTATTAAATAAATCATAAACTTTTTGTGTACACACTTGCCAACCATAGGGACATTACTTGATTATTTCCTTTAGTGGTTTCAAGACAGCATACTAAAATAATAATAGTGTGTAGGATATCTTTGACTTCTTGAGTTACAACTGTGTTGGCTCAGAATCCCAAAAAGCATAAGGACCCCCAGTGATGGTACAAATAGTTTCCCATGTTCTCATGTGTCATTTCACAGTTTTTCTGCTACAGGGATGGAGGAGCGGCGTTCATCACATTTTACCACGGAATGCACCACTACTCTAGATCCTTCCCCCAAAATGTTGGCTGTGGGCAGAAAGGTGAGGGCAGGATGTCCTTATTTACAGAGTCTGCTGCTATGACCCACAGCAGAAAAGTAATTGTTATAGTGATAAAAGAAAACAGTCTGCATCACATCCACACACTGCAGGGTACGACTGGACAAAAGAGGATTATTTACAGTGATATAAAAAGCAGCGTATCCTGTTCCTGAGGTTAAAATTGAATCTATTCTAAACACTTAGGCAGATACTATAGATTAAATCTGACATCACAGTGACTATTTACTTTGTATTTGTTTACTTCTTGAGACAAGATAAATGTTACCTTTAACCTTGGTTACGCAGTAGGTTGATTTTATCAATAAAGAGTTACACAAAGGTCAATTTAAAAAAAGTCTAGCAAACAGTAGTTTAACAATCTACTTTCTAGTTGTCATGTGGAAATGTATTTACTGACCACAAATCTGTACAGTGATACCGATATTAATCAGACCCAGTGTATATCAGTCATTGGGCTACACCATGATTTGCTTTGATGAATCTCACCAAGTTAATTTCAGTTGTCGTTTTCATTTAGAGATACATATAATTACTGTGATTTTTTTTTTAATTGCACCTTTTTATATTTAGTATATCTCTACCATTTCTTGTAGTTATGCATCATGTTAGTTTGATTCAGTGTTTTGCAGGTAGACATGCATACCCATTAATTTTCATGAAGTGATCGCTTCCTGGGTAGCCTGAAGAAAGGGGCATGTCTCCCCTCCAAAAAAGTGACGTTGTGTCCTTCCTCTGTGTCAACATAAAAGGACTGGACTGTAAGTGTAGTTCAGACACGAAAGGGAGGAGGAACTGTCCAAGGAGTGCCCGAAAGGCAGGAGCTGATTGATTTTTCTTTTGTTGGCCAGTTAGAAACTGAGACACAACTCACTTAACTTTTGCTATTCACAGTCAACTGAACTGAATTATTTTAACCTTTGCTTTGGAGAGCACCTGCCCGGAGGATACAGCGGCACAGCCGTGTCCTAGTGCGGGATCGGGAGTTGGATTAACCCAGCTGCGCAGGAGCGCTCCCCTGCAAACCGCATCATGGGTTACGCTAAAATCACTGCCGCTTTTTGGATGTGCACCTGATGGTTTTGTGGATTTAGATCACGTTTTTTAATAGTTAAAACAGGGCTGATTTTCTCGCTTTAGGAAGAAACTTGTCAGTCACGCGGAAATATAAACCTCTGCCAGGGACTCTGTAACTGTACTTCTTAACACAGAGTTTGGATTTTGGTGAAGAATTGGCAAGATGGTGTCATCCGACTGCTTCAGATTGGTCGTTGTCATCTTGTATTGTACATCACTCACAAAAGGTAAGAAGTCATTCATGCTTGAACACTTATTTACGCGTAGTTTCACGCATGAAAGAACAAAACTATAACATGGCACCGTTTGACTGTTTGATTGGTTTAATTGAAAAGCTGAATGCATATTGTTTTTACACATTTGACCCAATCAGCTGTCCGTTATTTGAAGAAGTATAGAGATCGACTTCTCACTCTGCGTCATAACAATATTACTCTTATTCCTTCTGTGTTTAATTGAGCTGTAACCAAGTGTTTACCAGTTTGCTTTCATTCTACATTTAGGGGATATTTTTATTATGTATGGATTTAACAGTAGAATATTCAGTTGGCATATTTGCGGAAGATTGTGTCAATAGTTTAGCTGTCAATGAGCTGCAGTTTTCACTTGGGCCGCTAGAGGCAGCCTTATCCTGTAATTGGGACATACTGTAAAATGTCGACTTCCACAGGTATTGTAAGATGAGACTGATTCTATTGGTGGAATTTCAGTGTTATTTATTTGTTTTCTTAGATATTCTGAAAATATTGCAAATCAGCAGTTATCATTTGTTATCAAAACAGTTATTCCAGCAATTGCTATCTGTGGGCAAACAGGGCTTCATTGTCTCATCACTCCACAAAAAAACAAGACACTGTATAAAAGGTGGGTGTTCTTCCACCTGGTGCCAAGTTTAGTGTGATTCACTATAGTCCTTCCTTGCCATCTCCAAATCCAAACAAAAGAAACCCTGTTCACCCCCCCTTTCCCCAACTACACATTCTATGGAGCTTTATCTTTGATGGTTTGTAGTAGATTTCCTTCACTGTCCACACACAAAGCGTGAGAAAGACACAAGGAGGAAGCGGACATAGGGGAAAGAGGCAGCCTGGAATTGCTCTGGCTAGTAAGGGTCACGGAAATGTGACATGCTACCTGAGCAAAGATTTCTTCCTGGAGCTCCTTGTGCTCATATTGAGCTATGTCAAACTCCAGCCATAAGACAATGGCAGGGCGGAAAGGAGGATATTGTTTCTGCATAGGAACTACTGACTGGTAGATTCATTAGTTATTGATGATGGCTATCTATGCTGAGGTGTGCAATAGGTTTTTGGAAAATGATCTACAAAGGTGTACAGATATAATTTGCCATGGTAAAACACTGACATTCATGTCACACCCTGCCAGTGATGCCGCAGTGTCACAATGTTAACGTAATAATCAGAAATACAGACACATTGATAATTTTACAAAGACGCATTGTTCTTCTGTTTTTACATTTTCACTCAAGCTTTTTCCCTATAATATGTTTATAATTAGTGATTGAGAAGAAATGCTGTCTAAAAATAGCCTGGCCCTGCTTTTTTCAGCTTTCTACAACAAGATCCTTGCATTGCAATTCTTTTTTCAGTAGGTCTGTGTTGCAGTTAATGACTTTAAGCATTCTGCTTATTACTATGCAATAGTATGATTCAGCTTTCAGATCCTTGCATTGCAATTTTTTTTATGTGTTGCAGTTAATGACTTTAAGCCTTCTGCTTATTACTATGCAATAGTATGAAATTCATCGTGTAAGGCTATGTACAGGTGGTTTATTGAAATAACTTCATGTGTTGTATTAGTGGATTTGTCCTAGAATTATGAGACAAACCAAGGTACAGAGTTGCATGGTTGTGGTCGGTGGTATTTTAGGGCATAAGCCAAATTCCAGATAATAAACAAGTGAATCAAAGTGATAACTGAAACAAGTAAGGCTTGAGGCAATGAGTGAAACGCTCTGTTAGTATTTATACCATTGTATCAATCATCAGTTTCTTTTTCTACAGTAAGGACAGCATTTCTTTTGGACTTTCTAACAGAAGGATTCAGTGTTGTGTTTAATTTGTTTTGGGGTCATTTTCTTTCTTTTGTGCTTAGGTACTTGAGATGGATTGGGAAATGGGTGTGATGAGAGGTCAGCCAAGCACAGTGAGGGCTTATTGCTCCCTGGCAGTACATCTGGGTCCATGCAGGCAGCACAAGAAAAACACACAGGCACACATACGCATTCACCTAGAATGGGAGACTCAACAGCAGCACAGAAAAAGGCATTAGCTTACACATGGATATTTAACTTCACAAATTGTTTTGAGTAGCTGTTCTTAAAGGATGATTGCAGCCTCTAATGTATACTTGGCATATCCACCCTGAGCCAACAACCTGGATGAGATTTCAGTTTCAAGGAGCTTCTGTTTGTCTACTAGTCTTAATCATACGCCATGGAACAGGAATCCACTGGGCTTATTTATACTGTAGGGCTCTCATGCAGGAGATGCCTGTTTCTTGGCTCTGCTGTACACTTTTTTAAGAGTAGTCTTGGACATTTTGCCTCCAAAACTCCAAAGGTTAAGCTACTGCTAATGGAAAAGGCTATCTCCCAGACTGTTGTCTTAACCTTGGCAAAGCTGAGGGGTTTCAAAGGGGCCACATGTGAGAGAATACCGCAGAACACATGTAGCACAGCCAGAGCAGTGGTAACCAGGGGCACGAGAGCCAGAAAGCTGTGAAAATGTTTAAAAAAAGCGGAGTACCAGGGGCAGCTACTTCTTAGTGTGAAGTTAGTCAGAAGTTTCAACTTTGTGTTGTAATTCTCCCACAAGTGTTTTGAACCCTCTGTATATGTGTTTGTCCTAGAAATGTCAACCTAAATGCAACTTACCATGAAATGCACTAAACATCTCTGCACTGGAAGTATGTGTAAATCTTTAACTTGTTAATCTCAGAAGTGAAAATGAAGTATCGTTGCTTTTGAGTCCAGTTCCTTAATAAGTAAGAAGACTATTAGAGCAGTGACATTCTCTCTTTGAATTGTCCATGTATACGTATCAGCGAGACATAAAAATCAGTTTATTTATACTGTATTTCTTTGCTTTATAAATAGTAATTGGAATCAATAGACTTATCTACAGACTCACCAGATTGCATGCAGGACAGATACTGTCACAGATTGGTAACTGTTCGCCTTTGTTTCACTCCTGTCACCATGGTCACATTACAGCAAAGAAGATTTGCCAGTAGTGACCCTCCCATTAGTTAAACAATAATCCCGTCTCCACTCTTTCTACATCTTTTCTTAGTAATGAAGCAGCAGTATTAAACCAGCGGATCATCGTGCCTTATTTTCACTTTTCACATTTTCGCATGACAGGAAATGTGTGGAGATGAATTGTACTCTCTGCAAAAGGGGAGGGAATTCCACACATTATTTCCAGCACTTGATGGGCTGGGTTTCCTGTTAAATTCAGCAGTAGTCCAGTCATTTCAGAGTACTTGTGATTTTTTATTATGCAATATCCGGTATGAGCTATTGGTGGCACCCTGCAAGACCGGTGAGATGTTTCCACTAGTTACACCAACTCCAAATATACGTTCCTCTTACAATTTTCCTAACCTTCTTTAATGTTGTTAACATATTACCCCTCTATGCAACAGTTTTTGCATTCTCTAAAGTTGTAAGATTGTAAATCAATGCAGTACTTATTAAAGTAGCAAAACAGATGACTGTAAATCAGTCCAGAAATACTAGATCAATACCAGTAAGAAATATAATGATAATATAATTAACAAGAGGACCTCAGTCTAAAGGACTTTTATGCTTAAAATGTCTTGTCACCATAATGTAACCATGTTACTCGATAATACTCCAAATTCTACTATTCAACAATATTTAACTATTAGTTTTATTATAAATAAAAATAACACATTTTTTATTTTCCTATATTAAATTGTTCTTCAGCATTTTGAGAGTGTGGCCCTTATATCTTTAAAGCAATATAAGGCAAAAAGTAGACTGCGCTCTGGGGTCAACAATTTTTGATTTCAGTTTCTATCACTGTTTGGCTGTCCTTTCAGTCTAAATATTTAGGTTGTACTGGCCACAAACATTTCAGAATAACGGAGAGTATTTGCTGGTAATTAGAGTAATTGCTGGAATCTGATACAGTTTGGATTTTTGTCATTTTCTAACAGGTAGTGAATCGACAGTGCCACAAATGTTTTTCAAACGCTATGTCCTGTGACACTTCACTGTGATCCTGGTTTAATCTTGGTTAACTTTGCCCTGTGTCAATAATCAGCTTGGTATTTTATGACTTCCTTAAGATCACATCACCACTTTCCTGAGAAACTGAACTACTCTTGTGCTCTCCCTCTGTTTGTTCCACAGTTAACCTCTTTTTAATGGCTCTTAATGAGAACCATCTCCAGGGCTCTTTGAACCTACGCAGTACACTCAGTTTTGGGCATTTTTCAGGCAATCTGCTGGAGGAACCCACACACAGCTGTTGCAGGGAGTTAGAGGTGTCAGGAGGCTTGCTGAGGGCAGTGTTTGCCAGGCTCTGGAGCAGGTGGAAGTTTCAGGGTGTGGAGAAGAAACTATGGAATGCTTTTTTTTTTTTCCCAAAGTGGGCTGCTGTCCCTGCTGATTCACTCCTCTGTGGTGAGTCATTGAGGAGAATAGGAGGAAAATTGGGTAGTTTTAATGGATGAGATTCCTGTCAGTATAATTCAAGGTCAGGATGAAGTTGTTGTTATTTGTATTTTGTATGCATGCAAGCAGGTGCATGTGTTCCTTTTATATAAGCATGCAAGTTTAACTATGTTTTGAACATGTAGAATTTATTGTTGCAGACAGCAACATGTTCTTTTTATTTTGCCACTTGTATTTACAAGTCCCATGGGTCACTTTGTGTTTGATTCATTACTGCATTCTCATTTCCAGCAATTCAATTACATGAACTTGCTGCCAATTTACAAATGTGAGGCAAGAAAAATGCAAATTAGAATGTTCATAAGGAAATTTGTTTGACAGGTACAGAGAAGCCAAAAATGGGATTCACAAGATAATTTGTGAATTGCAGATAATATGATTGTTATGATCAAGAACCGTGGCTTTTATCCATCTCATAAACAGATGAAAGCATGTGGCATCACAACATGAAAGAGTGCGAGCTACAACCCTTCCCTCTGACAATAAAACAATGATGTTCTAATATTCTGAGAGGAAGTTGATTTGAGTGCCTCTGCCAATACTGGCACTGACGGCTCATTCTTAACACAGCAGCTGTTCTGAATAATAGACAAATGTGTGTTTTTCTGTGAGTGTGTGCACTTTTGTTTATTTGCATAAAATGCAGGTGTACTTGTGTACTCCATGTGTGTGGATTTCGGTGTGTGTGCATACGTGTATTTATCAGTTAGTTCATGTGTCATCATGTCAGCCTGGCCATATGCTGGTCTGTAACTCCATTGTTCTTCTTGATTCTGTGCTACAAATAGTTTTCCCTGAAGACTGTCTGTTTGGAGGGTTGACTTAATAAACTTGTTTTCTGACCACAATGACAAGCTGGTCAGGGATCTTAGTGAAAAGAAGGAAATCACATATGGGACTGTGACACCTTCTGGACAGCAAGGAGAATCACAGTGTTTCCTATGTTGAGCGCTGTTAGAGGGAGCTCTCAACAGATACAGCTGGCTGTACACCAAATAGAGAGGCCACCTTTGAATCAAATATTTCAACCTTGTATTTTCCCTGTGATAATGTAATAATAGCATTTAGGGTGGAAGGTCAATGGTAAATGAAAAAATACAAAAAAGAGGAAGGGAGCACAATCACGAAAAGACATTGAGTGGTTGATTTAGAGGAAACGCATGTCTGCCTCGATTCTCTGTGATTCTAACTGGCTTGACCTTTATGGCAAAGTGGCACAGCTGCTCCCCATATTGTCTCCTCCTTCTCTGTTTCTTTCTTTCTGCTCATCCCAGAGCACTGTCCATTCAGCAACCTGCCCCTCCAGCACCGGAAACACCCCCAGTGCTCTCATAGCAGACAATCACTTGCAAGTATAAGAGGCAGAACAGAACAGCACAAAATGAACACGCATGTACAGCACTGAAGCGATTTAAAAGAAATGTTTAGTGTGATAAAGACTGAAGAACACCATTAAAGAGATGCTGTAAATGTGTGGGTTTGATTTTTTTTCCCCTTAAGTGCTCTAAATGTATGCTTTTATTTCTGTGTGTGTGTGTGTGTGTGTGTGTGTGTGTGTGTGTGTGTGTGTGTGTGTGTGTGTGTGTGTGTGTGTGTGTGTGTGTGTGTGTGTGTGTGCATGATCAACAGGACATTTGGAGAAAGAGGACTCACCTATTTTTTTGCCCATTGAAAATCCCTTCATTTTGCATAAGGATGGTTCCTTAAACCTCATATGCAGGTATGTCACAATATGTTTGTCAAAGTGAAACAAGCCAAACCGTTTAAATCTAATCAGCATTCAATGCAGCTGCTGCTGTAAATCCCTGATTAATGTCAATTTAAGTATTGTGTCATGTGAATATTTGCAACAGTCAAATAGGTTTATTTTTCTTGCCCTTTCCTGGTCAGTTGTCAGAAGCCAGGAAGAGCAAGGTCAGTTTCGTTACATAGCAGAAAGGCCACTGGAAAAATAAATTGAACATACTTGGGCCTCAAGACACCTGCTCACTACAAAGACGCTTGGACGATCCTTGACAGGAACCAGTGATGGTGGTCCACATTTATCAGTCTGTTGCAATTTCCTCAATGAATGGTGGGACCCAAGTGTACGGGATTCACATTTGTTAAGGATTTAGAGAGTTTTGCATCATTCCGTAGGCCCACAAGGAAAATTCAGGAATCCATGCCTACAATACAGTGCTTCCCTACAAGGCCGTATGCTAAAATCCCTGGCCCATAAAATACTTTGTTGTTTATTGTCACTGCATGAGAGCTGGAGGTTGCTTGACCCAAAATTCTGCACGCAAAGGCAATAGTATGCAAGACATGCCTGATGTTCCTCTGGGATCTCTTTAATAAGAGTTTTTAAATGGATGCTATGTGGAAAGAATGTGTTAGCTGAGCACATCATTCAAGAGAAACATGTTCCCATGCGAAAGTTCAAGTTATCAGATGACTCAGGACTCATTCAAAATAAACCTAAAATGAACATCAAGCCAAAAAGTCCCAAGAGGAGAAGCAGCCATCCAGAACTAAAAATGCTTGTAGGGTCATCACCAGCTGTGCCACATATCCTCAAAATAGGTCCAGTCATGCAGGGCTTTGTTTATGGAGAACAGCAATGAAGCACTGATGTGTCAGATTCAGCATCTTTAATAGTACATTTTGTTTACCACACTGTGTGAAAATTTACCCCACGTATTAAAGCTGAAACTGATTGTGCTGATATAAGTGACATTTTCCAGTTCACCTACTGTAATACTGTCCCTCTCTGTCTTCTGCCAGAGGTCATGGCTCGTTGAACTGGACGCTTGGCAATCCCAGACGATCGATTTCATCAAAGGGGGTGAAGGTGGAGCAGTGTGATTACAGACGTCATTCTCACTCTAACTGCAGTAAACTAACAATAACATCCTTGAGTGCCAGTGACACAGGGAACTACAGCTGTAAATACTTCGAAGATGGTTTAGAATCCACCTCCTCAACCTATGTCTATGTCAAAGGTGAGACCTGCAAAGTGCTCTTTGCATGGAATACTGGTAGTGGCTGGTTCACATTATAGGTCCTTTATTATCAAATACAGTCTGCAAATCAGTGGGGTCTTTGTCAGATTTATGGCACTCAAAGGAACCCCTCCAGTCCACTGAGCATAAGTAATTTTCCAGTATGAGAGCGTAATGTTTAGAAATGCAAAGAACTGGTTTAAACTGTAACAGCGATAAGGGTTCTTTCTTTTGAAACTGAAATGTTTCTCAGCAATCCACGATTTAACATTGTTTTTATTTGTAAAAGTCACGGATGTCTCCTGATAGAAGGAAGGCTTTCACGGGGTGATTGTCATCAGTTGACGCCAGTGGAGGGGTCTGGTGCTGAACTGAGCCCACAAACAGTGGCGCTTAATGGACAGAATGAAATAGCCAATGAGCATTCTGATATTTCCTGCTAAACACAAGACCTGGAAAACATCCACTTTAGTTAAAAGTAAGGAAAAAAAGTTGATTAGTCAGTGAGAACAATAGAAAAAGTGAAATAATAAAGTTGAAAAAGGAAAGGAAACCCTATGCACAATGACTATACGTAGTTATTCGGTACATGCAGGATGCTGACTTTAATCTATCATTCAGACTGAAGTTCCACAATTGTTCTTCTCAGAGAGAGTGAGCCGTGAGTCACAAGTGGTTTCTTTGGTACTGTGGTTTCTTCTGCAAGTGGAAGGGTGAGCAGCATTAGACAGGAAGCCCTGGTCACTGACTGTGATTTCCTGCTTTGGCTACTGTTTTCCTAAGTCTCCCCTAAAGTATCAGAGGGCACTGGTTACAGTTAGACTACTATTACAATTGGAGAGCAGGTTTTGAGGTTTATGTCAGCCTCAGCTGATTAGACCTCTCTGTGTTGGTTTTTAGACTTTAAAATAATAAAGATGCTAAATAATGATATATTACATGTTTAAATATTAAATATAAACGCTGGAGGCACTGTATTTCTTCTCTTGTTGTTCCTGTTGTGAATGCATTCCCCTGTTTGCTCATCAGCTGTTTATTAAATCACTTTCCATACTTGCTTTTCAAATTAGAGTTCCTATATCCCACAACTACTTCTTGACCTCATGCTAATCAAAGACTCTTTGTGCAGCCGTGCGGTTTCCACAGCTGCCATGTGGTGTCTGGCTGCTCAGTAGAGACATTGCTCAATCTGAGTTTTGCTGCCTTATTTAGTTAGAATCAGCTGATCTCTATGTTGGATCTTCTAACATTTCCCTGTTTCAATTGCACTCCTCTGGCAGAACAGTTTTTTCACTCTCCTATAACAACAGCTGTAAATTTGCTACAAAACATAGTTATCCCAAAGGACAACATGTTAGGGAGCACATCTGCTTTGGAATGAAATTTCTGTCTGACCTGTATTTTAGATCTCACTGATTTTTGAGGGGGGGTTTTTTGTCCCTCAGATCCTGAACAACCATTTGTGGTGCCCCATTATCCGACACCTCATGTCTTGGGCATCTACAGGCATGAGACTAGTCTCTTGGTCCCCTGCCGAACATCCTCTCCTGATGCTGATGTAATTCTGATAGGGGTAAGACCACACAAAGACAATCATATCACATCTTCTGCTCGTGCCTTTTTATTGTACTATGTACAGAACAGAGTAGTACACTGTATGTGTTCCACAGACATAGATCGTGAAGGTAATCACGCAGTACGTCATCTGAGAGAGTAAGATGTATATAATGACAGGTTGTCCGTACTTGTCATCTTTGGAAAACAGTGTTTCCACTCAGCGCTTAAGGTATCTCACTGGTTGTCACACTATTTGTGTGTGAAATGACTGTAGCATACAGAAACAGACTGGAGACAGTGGGCTTGTCAGAGGGAAGCTCAGGGACGGTGAAGGGAGTCATCCTGTTTGTTTCCTGTAAGAGCAGGAAGGTGCTCCAGGAGTGTTCTTCTCAGAATAGACTTTCAGATTAAATTTAGTCTCCTACAAACATCATGCAGAGAACGAGAGTACACACCATTCACAGGAAACAGCAGGTAGCTTATCATGAGGGTTATTATTCTAACATTTGATCATAGAAGTAAGTGGAAGATGTCAGTGGAGGAATGCACCCTCAAAGCTGCCATCCCAGCCACAAAGGTCTGTGCTTTTTGTCATATTTGTGATTGATACAAGACCACATGTAATAGTGCCTACTGTGGGCAGACACATCTGACTCAGATGGCACAGATAGTGGCACTACGGCCACTCTTCCTTTCTGCTCCTTTTTGTTCCTTTCCCTCCCATGCTCCTGTTCCAATCCACAGTCTGGCAGGACAAACAGCAACAGTGCGAACATCCTTTTTCCGAGTCCGCAATATTTGCGCTCCATTGCATTAAATGATTACTGTGGTTACACTCAACAAAACTAATTAGACCTTCACCCTCACAGATGTCTGTCCTCAGCTGAGCCCAGCAGAGCATGAGTTACACGTTCAGTGAATTTGAGTGTGTTACACTTCATTTTATCTGGCTCAGTGATCTTTAATGAACATTATGAGTACCACCAGTTTTCTATGGGCACTGACAAAACCTCTCTGCTCTTCTCTCTTGATTACAGAACCCAAATTTATCAGAGGAGATTAAAATGGAAAAGAAATGGGATCCGATGCAAGGATTCACAATTCCCTATGGTCCTTACACCACGTACAATACATTCACCTGTTACACCAAAATCAACGGTCGTGAGTTCAGGTCAATGTACATCCCAGCCAGACAGAGTGAGTCTGTTGTCTTTCTGGCCAAAGCTGCTCCCACTGAGAAACAGAAGACTATCTCTGATAAGAGGTTTTTCTTTTTCACAGTCTCTTTATATTTGTCTCCATTTTGCAGCTCTTGTTATTAATAATGTGAAAATCACCCCAGAGCGTGTCAGAGTGTTAGTTGGTGACACCCTTGTCCTCAACTGTACTGGTGAGACCACGTATAATGGAAGAATCAACTTCACATGGGATTTCCCGAGAAAGAATGTAAGTTCAAGATTTATGTTAACAGTGTACTACTATATGTAAAAGGCGACATCACAAATGTTCTGTTCTTCCTTTGTCTTCAGGAAAATCTGCATTATACGAATAAGACTAAAGGTGCCCTTGCTGAGGTTTTAGTGATGAGCAAGGCTTTAATCTTGCCAGACATTTCCACGGAAGATAAGGGGTTGTACCACTGCAAAGCTTGGGTTGAACCCACACATTATAAGGATGCCACAGCAAAAGTCATTGTCTATGGTAAATATGCTTTGAATGGAATAAAAATCATATAATGTGTTCAAAACAAGGTCTTCCATGAACTCATACATCTAAATTATTACAAAAATAAATGTTTATCCTCTTAATGACTGTACTGCGGTGATACTACAGCCATTTGATGATCATCCTTTTTATTTTGACATGGAATTCAGTGTTGTCATTAATCTCTTGTTGCAGAACATCCATTCCTCAATGTCTCCTATAGGCATGAGCGGCCTAGTACAGTGACTGTCAAAGAAGGTAGAAAGAAGATTGTGTTTGAGCCCAAGGTCAATGCTCTGCCCCCACCAGACATGGTAGCATGGTAAATAACAGTTTGTAGCCACAATAAAAACTGCACATTATGTATTGAGTGTACGAGCACATCCGCTATTAAACACTGTTAGAAACCCTACATTTTAACTTAGCAATTCAACTGTTTTCTTTTCATTAATTATTATTGTTTATGCATGGGGCAAAAAACTATACATGCTTTCAAATTTCAGGTATAAGGATGGGGTCCGTATCCAGAAGAATTCCACCTGTTACAGGATGTCTGGTTTCAGCTTGATTATCACTGATGTGCAGCAGAAGCATGCTGGGGTCTTCACCATAAGCTTGGGCAACCAAGCGAAGGGCCTGAACAGGAGTATGAGCTACACTCTGGTAGTCGAAGGTAAGCCATTGCCATTAACCTGATAATTGCTGATCCTGAGAAAATGAAGCTGTGGACTGAGGCTGCCCCGGCTCTGGAGCTGCTTTCAGTCCAGCTCACTGGACGGCAGGTAGCAACTCTAGTATGAGAGGAATTTGAGGGCTTGTTGATTCCCGGGCTAGATTGACATAGCAGGGGCAGCTGTTCTTGATTACTGGGGCTCTTTTGAAGGGGTTTGGCGCAGTGTGTAAATGGCCTAGGCTCTGTTCTGCACGTACACTCAAGCCACTCCAGACCCCTCTAGTCCCCAGCATTTATTTGCATCCTCACCATCCTCGCTTTACACATAGAGAGTGCACACGTGTAAAAATGTTATATACAATATGTATACAGCTTGAGGAAAACAAGGACTGAGCATGTCATTTATTGTTATAATCATTTTGTAGATTACTGATAACTGTTTTCACTACTGGTTATAAATGTTTTAGCATATTTGGGAGAAACTTAATGAAGTCCCTGATATAGAGGGAAAGAAGCATATACAGGTTTTTTATGGGGGGTGGGTTGTTATTGCATTCTTTAAACAGTATCTTGGAATTGGAATAATGTGCCAAAAGGTGGAAAAATCAGCCCCCTTCTGACTTGTGTCAGCCAGAAGGTATGGTCTGTGACTAGTCCACTTGACAAACTTTTAATGTATTGGAATGGCAAAAAATAAAGCACACAGATTCTAACAAACAAAGTGACACAGTGCAGGTTTTTGTGGTTTGTTAAGCTTTGTCACTGCGTGTAGGTTGAATATCTCAGCCTTTCAAAATGGAAAGAATGTCTTCACGATGCGGACTGCCTACTGAAGCAGTACAAGGATCTTTGTCTGTAGTTGATTACAGCACACATGGTTGATTCACTGACCTGGGCATGGGCCACAGTGAGGTCGTTCTCTGACCTACAGCTCCCGGGTAGCCCATCATCCTGCCATTCTTCTTCTACACAGTGTCTAAAAAACTACTGGTGTCAGTGGGACTTTTTTTCATGGCTGTCCATCATGGCTGTCGCTCCTCATTATAAAAACATAAGACACCACAGTGGGCTGGGTGGATGGTTGATCTAACCTATTGTCTCTCTCTTTCTCTTGTTCTCCCTGTGGTTTTGTGTGTGTTTATGTTCACCTCTCTTTCACAGTGAAGCCAACTATTTCAGAGGTGGAGCTTGCACCTGTGGATGTGCAGCCCTCTATGTTTGGCAAACAGCATCAGCTAACCTGCACTGCTTACGGGTTACCCTTGCCAAGCATCACTTGGCTTTGGCAACCATGTCACCCAAACTCCACGCTTAAAGGGTAAGCTGCCATCTCACTATGTTTCATGCATCAAAATGTTTGAACTAGATTTTCTTCGTTTATGGTCTGTTAACTTCTTCCAATCTTGAAGAATTAAAAGCATATTAAAGGTATTATTTTCCTGATTTTCTGCATAATTTAGCCATGAAAATGTTTCATACAGAGGCCACCATTTTGCCGCATTACCTAATTGTAGTCTCTATAAATCTTTACCATGCTTTAAATAATTCAGTGTGTAATAGGACCACATCAGTCATGAACACCCAGCATAATCTGTTACAAAATCAGTTACATGCCACTAGCTAGTCATATGTTTTTTAACTGCACAGCATTTGCACATAGGTGTGCTGGAGGACTTAAATGCCACCACAGAACTGGAGTTGTATCCATAAATACACACACACAGACCCAACAGCAAATATGTATAGGGTCTAGCCTAGGGATCTCACTATAAAACAGATTAGTGATGACTGAATTGACTCAGGGCCCAGAATTTGACACACTAACCAAACAAACGCAGCCCTTGAGAATTGTCCTTTCGCTTTTGGTCAGTGGTTCCTTAGGCTGAATTAAAAACACAGGGGAGACATATGAATTTCACATTCCCAGAGCTAAACAGAACTGAATGGATGAGTGACCATGCATGAATATCGGCCTAGTAGTGAACCTACAGACATTCCCTGAGATTCTGGCTCATCAGTGACAGCAGAAGACCTCGTAAGATCAGGAAAACAATGGCTTATTACTGTTGAGTTCTCAGGCCCCAACACCAAAAACAACATTGTGGACTGAAGGAGACTAAATTATTTTACATGTTGGGTAGTGGGAACCAACCAGTGCCTCCATTTTTATATTCAGTAATTTATCTCAAACACTCGTACTTGGCAGATCTATGATTAAAAGCAGTGTTAGCTGGGTCAAAGCAACTCTTTCTGCAGGACTAAAGATAATCCGGGTTGGCACTAGGAACAGTGGCTGGGCCGTGGCAGGCAACTAATGAGGCAGAGGAACAGCCATAGCTTGGTGGGAGGCCTATTGTGCAAAATGTTTGTGTTATACAGCCCTGACGCTGCAAAGTACCTGTCACTGTAAATCCAACATGTAACCTTTCAAGATCATATCGCATCTAAATCTTTGGGAGTTTGGACAGGAGGGGAAACACAGGGTCTGGGTAGAGGTTAGAGGTGAGATAAGCTTGCAGTGTTGAATGTGGAATTAGGCTGACAGCACAGGGCACAGAATACATGGGTATCTTTATCACCAGGTTGAGAAGTTATCAGCTGTCCCTTGTTGACCGCCAAGGTCTTAGGATCAGCTTTATCTCCTCTGGCCAGAACATGGGGTTTCCTGTACAAGGTGATGCACAGCACAACCCTTCCTGTTGCTGTTGCTGTTTCCTCCTCTGCCTTTCCTCTCATCAGACTGATTGTTCACCACCATGGGTGGTGAAGGGTTTGTGGGTGGGGGTCAAATTAAGGCTTTCTCTGTGGTTTATAACCCAGACAGCATGGTCTAGACCTGGGCTGTACGCAGATCAGTCTCAGTGGTCTCTTTCAAGGTTAAAGCTTTAACAATAAGATAAGTTCTATATTATAATCATGTGATCTGGGCAGAATGTGTTTTACACTGCACAAAGGTTTCTAATTAAAACAACATAAACATCTGCTTTCCAGCATCATATATTTCTACACATAGTGACATGACAGATGGTCAGTTTTATTGCATTTTCTTTATTCTGCAGTTGCATGAATTATGGTGATCCAGTTCAGGTCCGCACTGATGACAAGGAAACATACTCCCACAACTCGATTAAGAGCATAAACACCAAGACTGAAATGATTAAAGATAAAAACAAGGTATGAGGTTTAACTTAATGTGTTGTCTTTTCATGTGTGTTTTAAATAACAGGTGCACTTGTAGCATGCATTGTACAGAACTTAAGAAGCTTCTCAGATCAGAAGGGAAATGTCTTCAAAAACCTCAAGCCGTTCCAGTTGCCAACTTTATAGCACTTTGGATGCACTTATAGGCATCCTTTGTTCACAGTGAAATTCTGTTAACACATAGTAGTGTCCAACTAAACAGCATGACTTATTTGATAACTGGCTTAAGATGATGTCTGGAGATCCACAGAATAGCCACAAGTTAGGTCAGATTCAAGTGGAAACCTCCTGTGATCAGAGCTTGAAAGTCAGAGCCAACATCTGAAAACCATAAATCCTCGCAGTTTCACTATTTTCCTCCCGTTGGCAGTGATGCAGCAGTTTTCTTCACTGGAAATGATTCATTTTATCTGTATTAGTCTTGGCTTATGTAGCTGTGACCAAAATCCATGAAAATGGTTTAGTTTTTTATTGCTGCACTTAAAAAGACATGATTTATACTTGGAATGAGTAAACATGAAAACATGGGAATATTATTTGGTTTCATCTATATGCTGTATGAGCTTCATCTGAAAAGGAAGATACCATATTGGTAAATACTCTGAAATACTGTTATTGCATCTGCAGCATAAATTAAAGATGTAACGTGCTAACAGAGCGGCATAGGATTTCCTTTAGTGCAATGGCGTTCTTATACGGAGCAGGACCTCTCTCACTGTGTTCCTACTGCTTCTGTAATGGTGCAAACAAAACTGACAGTTCATTTCCCCCTACTGCAGTGAAAAGCACCCTCCATTTCACAGTTGTTTCATATAAAGATTACCTATAAAATTAAACAACTACGGCTTCAATTGTAGGCCTTGCCAAAGAAACATATTTTAGTCTCACATCAGTTAATCTTTTTAGCTGAGGAGACTCACAGAGCAAAGCCTCATAAACCGTACTCCTGTAAAGCCATGTGGCTTAAACCATGCATGTGCCTGAGAACAAGCTCGTATATATTCTACCAAGCACCAGCACTGTGAGGATGAAATGATCTACATGTTGAAAAAGAGCTGGAATTAGGCTGTATCTATATGTGCATACATAATGTGATAATAGAAGCAAGTTTTGATCATGAAAAAAGTGTGTTTAAGCAAATATAGTCATTTTACATTTGTGCAGAAATAACACTGAGGCATCGATTTGGAATCTGTCAATCTGTTAGGAACATCAAACACATCCTGCCATCCAAACCCAAAACATGTCACACAATGGGGAGATTGGAGACACTGCTGCAGATGTCCTGTGGGAGCTATTTACTAAAACCTTTCACCCTAAACATGGTTAAGAGCAGTCTCCACTGCCTTGCACGAGTCTGTTTATAGGATTGTATCAAGTTTCAGCAGGCTGGGTCAAATTAGGGCACAAGTTCATTGCCATATAGGTTTTCTACAGAAGAAAGAAATAGTTGCCAAACTTTTTGTTCATGTTTTAAAATGCATATCTGGTGAATAACTAGGTGATTTGACTCCTGATCCTGATACTGACTCCTCTCTCTTGGAATCACATTGCTCCCATGCTCAACAAGTAATTGTAAAATTGGCCATTTTCACTGGGCATCGGTTCTAATATATCTCTGGCATAAATGGCACCACTTATTTATGCGTACTTGTGGCTAAACACTGGTGTTTTATGATGATTAGGACTCAAGGGTCAATGACAACGAGCAGCAGTTTTAAAGAAGACAGATTTGCTGGAGGTGAATTCCTCTCTGTCACCCCAATAAATCATATTGGCCTGTGAGTAACCAGGCTCAGTAGAGAGGGAGACCAGCCTGGGTCATAACATACTGGAAACATAAGGGCACAGAGGTCACAGTGTGTCTGGTCAGGTCATAGACTGTATCCAATTGTTTTAAAAGCTGTAACATGATACTATAAGGCAACTCCATCTGTTTTTTTGGCATAAATTGGACAATACAATACAACTTTTCAATACCTATTCTTTAACTGCCTGAATGTTTGTATGGCATACAGTGTGCAGGAACACTTAAAATTGTTATGGGAAGTTTATCCAGCATACACCCTGACAGTGCACTCCCATCATTCTCTCTCTTTGATGTAGCTGACTCAGAACACTAAACAGACTCCCAGGCAGTCTGGCCCTCATCCAACTTTCATTTATCATTTTGTCTATTTGAGACATTAAATTTTTGTATTAGCATGATGACCAAATCGAGCATGGCATTGGAAGTGCTTTCCAGGAAGAGATGTGGAGCCCTGACAGCAGACTTATAGTGCAGGTCTCAGTGGGATTTAAAAAGCCAGATGTATCCTTTCAGTAATGCAATGCAGAAAACAGTCCAGGCTTGATCCAGACCTCTTACTCGCCTGTTGCCAACAGCTCACAGGTGTCTGTAGGCCAAGGGTAAATCACACTCATTTGTGATATTACTGTAAGCATTTGTTGTTTATCTTAAATATGTTTTATTGTAATTTGAATAAACAGTACTAATTTTCCTAATGGTCCCCATTAGACTGTGAGCACCCTGGTGATAGGAAATGCTACTGTGTCTGGAAATTACTCCTGTGAGGCCCGGAATGACCATGGCACCAGCCAAATGACAATCCTCTTCTATGTTGATGGTAAGTGGGTCCACTGCTCGATTGAAGGCGCATGCAGACATACGCCGCTGAGTTGTAGTGTAATTGTAAAGCACGCTACACTGCTCTAGTCTTTCAAATGATCTACACATAGTGTACAGTACATGCTGAAATAAATTGCAAGAACAGGGTATGAATGTGCAGATTGCATTGTGCTATAAAGAGACCAGAGGGTGGCATTAAGTGAAACCATCTTCCACTTTAGTTGAACAGCTTCAGGTCAGTAGAGAGGGAAACACATGTCCTGATCCATGTTGAGTGCTATAATGGCACATGTTTAAAAACAGTTGTGAATAACTGCATTCATACTTCAGTGCCAGCAGGTCATTCCTCTGTCTCTGTGAACCTTCTGCTGTGGGAATTTACTTTTTTATGTGCATCTGAGTATTTCCAAATGTTCCCAGAAATGAATATCAATTGAGACAGTTATGTACAGTAATGGGACTAAGCGGTATAGAAAATGAGATGAGATGAGATGTACAGTAATAACAGTGGGGATCAGGTGTTACTGCACATACAGTTCCCATTTCCTTAAAAAGTGAATGCATAACATCTCTCAATTGGTTGTTTGCTTGTGGAGTGCGATGGATGTAGGTGAACCCATAATTGATGATGTACCAAGTACCAAAGGATTGTCTCCCAGAGAGGGAGTGCTCCCTTCCAGAGGTGGGGAATACAGAGACTGATGGAATGCTGCTAAAAAAGAAGACAGAATTATAATAACAGCTGTCTTCTCTTATGGAACACATATGCTTTCCAGCAGTTTAAATAAACATGCCCAATCTGGCTCACCTCTGGCCCAGACTTAGCTTGACTGTAGTTGGATGAGTGGAGAAGCACCATCAGCAGTGCTGTCTACCGGCAACATGCTTCCAATTAACAGCGATGAAACAGGAAATAACGAGCACCATCAGTAGTGCTGTCTACCAGCAACATGCTTCTAATTAACAGCGATGAAACAGGAAATAACTGCAAATCTGACATTCCTGACCTTGCAAAGAGCATCTTTGTGTCCAAAGCTATTATCCAACATAACACCTCCTGCCAAGAGGATACATGTTCTGCTCATGTGTATAAAACATATGATATGGACTTGTGCAAAAAGCTGTTTATTCATAAATGATTACCTCTAGTTGACCCCAGCTGATTACTGAATACATCTGAAACAGGGGAACATGTGGCCTAATCACAATCTGAATTTTTTTACATTCTTCTACTTTGTCACAATAGCTCGCCCTGAGGAAATTACCACTGAACCTAAGACAGCCATCGAGGGGGATGATGTGACTCTAACCTGTTGGGCAACCCGCTACCTCTACACAGACCTGCAGTGGTTGGATTCCAGGAATCAGACGATCACTTCCAATGTGTCCAGTGTCCAGGCCAGTCGCTACTCGATTTCCCGTTCTCTACACCTTTATAATGTTTCCAAGACCAGCACTACAGGTTACAAGTGCCAAGCGCACAAGCTCCACAAGAACGTTGTACTCAAGACTGCTTCACTTACTGTGGATGGTAAGTTAGAGGAGGGTATGAGAAGTTGGCTGCATTTCTGTTGTTAATACTTGTTACTGATTACACCTGTTCTATAAATTGTATATTATCAAATAGTCAGCTGATGCATGTAAATAAAATTTATGATGATGTAGAAGTGTTGTCATGTTACTGTAGGTTGGCATACAAAGAAACACAGGAGCCAATCCTGCAGGACTTGATGAGTTGCAGTCTGAACAAGACAGTCATAGAGCAACAGCACCTCCAATTCAATTCAGTTCTTCTTTTTCTTTTTGGTCTGGTGCAGAAAGGAAACCCCCATGGCTGAGTCAAAATCTGACTAATCAGGATGTGAACAGCAGCAGCACCCTGATGCTGGCTTGCTTTGCTCTGGGAGTTCCTCGTCCTTCCATCATCTGGTACAAAAATGGCATTCCAGTGGAAGAAGGCCCAGGTAACTTAAGAACACTATATCACATGCTGTGGTCATCATATAATAAATCATTTTAGCAATTTCTTTAATTTTGGTGACTAGTGGCACAAGTACAATCCTGGTGCAGCATTGCACAAAGTGGGTGAAACAGTGGAAGAGAATGTATTCATTCCTTTTGTTATCAGCAGGACCACATTATCACTTGTCAGTTTTGTAAAGGGTCAGGCCAGTATTTCTGGAGAGAAAACAGTTTTTCTTTCTAAGCTGTTTATTCTCAAAACATAATTAAAAGTTATGTGTCTAGGACTGCAAATGAGACCCCTCTCTAAGACATTCCTGTCAGTGCATAGTGATTCACACAAATGCGTTTTAGAAGAAATCTGTGCCCTTTGGCTGTACGTTCACGTACTCGTAGTATAAGAGGATGTGTTTACATTAATATAGTCTATTAAAAAAAATAAAAGTTGCATTGAATTGCAAGAACAGGGTATGAATGTGCAGATTTTTCACGGCTGCCTGCCCCTGCACAAAATATCCACACTGCCCAACTATCAGGACCAGTTTGACTGAGAGTTTGTGTGTTGCAGGTATCACACTGGGAGAAGACGGGCTTCTGACCATTGACAGGGTGAAGAAGGATGATGAGGGTCTGTACGAGTGTATAGCCAATAATGTTGAGGGTTCTGCAAAAACAAGTGCTGTTGTTACTGTGCTCGGTAAGTCATGCAGACACCTTGAGATGTTAACTAACCATCATGAAAGGTAGCCACACTAACCTGCTGCATTTACAGTACTGTTCTTAAGTGTGAAGTGGTGTGTGCTACAGTCAGTCTGGTCACAAATCACATCAAACTAATCATCAGCCCAAGTAGTGTAGATTCATTGCATTTTCTACATGTCAAGTCAGAACCCTTTTGGCCTCAAATGTTGGTTTTTGGGATTCTTGCTAAAGAGGATTTGGCAGCTAACGACCGTTCTTCTCTTTCCAGGGGATGAAGGGAAGCCAAACATTGAGGTTATAATTCTGGTGTGTACAGGAGCTGCAGCCACGTTCCTCTGGCTCATGCTTATCCTCTTCATCCGCAAGCTGAGGAAGGTGAGGTGTTAGATTATTTCCTTCTCGCAGAAGCCACACAGATTAGCATTTTCCAGGATATGGAAAGTTCAAACAGTTAAAGAAGCGTGAAGTCTTTGCAGATTTTATTTCATGTTGCCAACTAATTCAGCTCCAGTGACTTTAAATGAAATGACTGACACAAGCGTCTTGTGAAACACATTCATGGAAGGCTGATTCTAACCAGTGTTTATGACCCCCACATTCCCTGACAGTTGGAAAGTGTTTGTATGTACAGTATGGTCTCAAAGAACATAATGCGCTCATGCAAAAGAAATGGCAAGGAAATATTTTTGTGCCTTTAGAACAGTATGCGTGTAGAGCAGGAATCTCAATCGTCATGTCAACATTTTCACTAACTGCTCACTAAAATATAAGTTTAAAATTCTGAGTTGAACTTTGGTTGTACAGTATTTGCCAGGAGCATTTTTATGAAAATCACGAAATTCATGTTTTATCTTCAGCAACCAGCACACTATAGGATGGGTCCATCTATCATCATTGACCCTGACGAGTGTCCACTTGATGAGCAAAGTGATCTTCTTCAGTATGACAGCAGCAAATGGGAGTTTCCTCGTGACCGCCTGCGACTAGGTGAGCAGTGTAATCCTAACAATGTAGGGGAGAAATGTTTTCCCTATAGATATTACAGGTACTAATAATTAGATGACTGTAGGCAGGCAGTTGCTTGACTGCTTCTAAAGTTTCAATAGGTGAATATGTTTTCTGGAGTTGAATGTGTAACTTGAGCTTCTCATAAAACTAAAATATTCTCACACAGTTGTTGAAATAAGAGCTTCTAGAGCTATGCTTGTGATGTCATCTCACAATATTAGTGTGTGTACATAGATAACTAGCTGGATGAATGAAAATATACACAACTCACTGTGCAATGTCCTTGATTTATTTGAGGTGATGAGTGAGATGATTTTGAAACATTATTTTACTCTCATACAAACAAGAAGATGGGGTCACCCCTCTGTGCAGCTAGGGTGTAGGCTCATTACTTATCAGGTGTCATCCAGTCTTCAGTGAACCATAAATTCCCTAGAAACACTGCGTGGTGATCCGAGCCTCAGCATGTTGTTTTAATTACAGACTCATAGCCTGACTGTCAGGGAATCAAGTCTGCTTGCTCTGCCCCAGGGACAGGAAGCACTAATGATATTCCACTTAGCAAATATTGTCTTCATTTGTCAGGCAAAACTCTTGGCCATGGAGCTTTTGGGAAAGTGGTGGAAGCTTCTGCCTTTGGGATCGACAAGCTTTCAACCTGCAAGACTGTTGCTGTCAAAATGCTGAAAGGTAGGATGTCAAACACCTTCATACTGGACTCCAACAATATTGGAAAGTAACAGGCAATTTTACTGACAAATTTCATATTCCTTTTAACATAAGTGTGGTTTGCCCACATGGTCTTTCTGGTTCACCCTTTGAGTACATCACTCATTATATCTGTCACCTTGCAGAAGATTTATATCCCGTGCACATTTAAGAATAACGAGTTATAAAGAGTTACACAGTAGCACCACGTGCGCTTGTAGTTAATGTTTGGATAGTGTGCTGATTCAAAGCAAAACATTCAGTGTCTTTTCTCACAAACTGCATTTAGAAATAAAGGCTAACGGTGCCCTGTCCTTGTTGAGGATTTTGAGTGTAGGCAGATGTGACAGCGCAGGGCAGAGGTCAAACATGTGAGATACAAATACAGAATGAGCAACAAATAATACAGGTATGTTTAGTTGTTTAGTGCCATGGTGGCTCAGTGGTTAACACTGTCACCTCACCGCAAGAAATGTCTAGGTTCAAGACCTGGTGCCTTTCTGTGCAGTTTGCATGTTCTCTGTGCGCCTGCTTTGGCTTCCTCCTGCAGTCCGAAGACATGCAGCTGAGGTTGATTAGTGACTCTAAATTGCCCATGTGGTTGTCTGTCTCTAAGGCATGTGATAGACTGGTAACCTGTCCAGCATGTACCCTGCCTCCCGCCCAATGTCAGCTGGGAGTGCATCACCCCCCCCCCTTCAGGATAAGAGGTATAGATAATGGAAGGATGGATGTTTAGTGTCACTTGGACGCGGAACAGTCCCATGCCTTGATGTTTAAGAGCAGTTATTTACAATCCCATTCCAACATCTTTTCAAATGTTCACAACAAGCCATAAAGAGACACTTAACTATATCATTCAGCACAACTTTAATCATTATCAAGGATGATATATCAGTGAGGATGAAGAGCAGGGCTTTGGTTAGATATAATGGTCACTGTCTTAGCATTAATCATGTGTCAGCATAAATAACAGGCTTTCTGAGAGGAACAGATTCTGGCTGTTGGCTGTGAACAGGTCAAATGTAATGGAAAGCAGCAGGTCACCTCACATTGACAATGGTTTAACATTGGACTCCCTGACTTCTTTAGCTTGTAAAAATCTAACTGATTGAAGCAACATAAAAATACCTCTAAATCTTTTCAGAATTCGGGGTAATGATATTTCATCATTTTTCAAATGTATCAAAATCAGTGTGTAATGTGAGCACCTCCTGCTTTATTTCTCTTTCTTTGGCATGTGTTTTTGAGGATGTTCTCCATCAAAAGCTGCCTAATATCAAGGTTCAAGGATTTTATTGTCAAACAAGAAGATGGGGTCACCCCTCTGTGCAGCTAGGGTGTAGGCTCATTACTTATCAGGTGTCATCCAGTCTTCAGTGAACCATAAATTCCCTAGAAACACTGCGTGGTGATCCGAGCCTCAGCATGTTGTTTTAATTACAGACTCATAGCCTGACTGTCAGGGAATCAAGTCTGCTTGCTCTGCCCCAGGGACAGGAAGCACTAATGATATTCCACTTAGCAAATATTGTCTTCATTTGTCAGGCAAAACTCTTGGCCATGGAGCTTTTGGGAAAGTGGTGGAAGCTTCTGCCTTTGGGATCGACAAGCTTTCAACCTGCAAGACTGTTGCTGTCAAAATGCTGAAAGGTAGGATGTCAAACACCTTCATACTGGACTCCAACAATATTGGAAAGTAACAGGCAATTTTACTGACAAATTTCATATTCCTTTTAACATAAGTGTGGTTTGCCCCAGGTCAAAAGCAATGTTGTTTTCCATTATGTTTGTTAGTTTGAACTCTCAAAATTAATTTAAATAGTAATCCAGTTACTTTGGTTCAGGCTTTTTTCTGCTTTTTCTCTATATTTGCACCCTGCAAAACGGTATTTGTTAAAATGCATGGGCGAAAGATGAGTTTGAAATTTGTCTGGAGAATAAAGTCAGCTTGGATTTGAAGGCTCTCACATTTGTGTACATGTCGTGCACAAACTGTAGCTTCACGTTCAGCTCATTCATGTGTGAAAAAATGTCCACAGCAAACGCAAAGTCACAGAGCCGGTTCTTGTCGCACAGCTCGGGAAATTTGTCGGATTTCCACATTAACTCCAAAAATACACTAATCTCCTCTTTGAGCTCTAACACTTGTTGAAACATTTTGCCCAAACTTAAATAGTAGACATGAGAGTGGTAAAGTAAGTCCTGGTGATCCGCATCGGTTTCCTCCAGGAACGTAATGAACTGACGGTGCTGAAGTCCCCTTGCTCGGTTAAAGTTAACAAGTCTTACTACTAGATTCACAACATGATTAAGCTGCAATACAGACTTACACAGAGAATTCTGATGAATGATGCAGTGATCTACCACCTACTGGGGGAAATGCAGGCATTGTAGGAAAAAGGCAAAACGAATGAGGTTTAATGATAACATAATTTAATAATATAATTTGGACAAGTTCAGCAGACCAAATTAAAAAGCTTGTTAATGATACACCGACCAAGTCTGATCACGTTCTACACGTGTTTACATTATTTCAGGAGGCGCTACGTCAAATGAGCGGAAAGCTCTGATGTCAGAGTTAAAGATCCTGATTCACATTGGCCATCACCTGAATGTGGTCAACCTTCTGGGAGCCTGCACAAAGCCTGGAGGTAAGCTTTATTGCTGAAGATGTTATCAAATGTGATCCTACTGTTTGGATCTTCAGGTATAAAAATATAAGGTTTAAGAAGAGGACATTAAGTTAGTGTTGTTTCTTAATCATAAGAAATATCCATCCTAACAGGACCATTAATGATGATAGTGGAGTTCTGCAAGTATGGCAACTTGTCAAACTATTTGAGAACCAAGAGAGATGATTTCCTTGTCTACAAGGTGAGTCACAAGCTACTTGAATTCCAGCACCCTTGCTTTCTCATCATTTTAGTGACAAGCTCAGTGTGAGAATGGAGTGACTGTTTAGACAACTATGTAGAAATCCCAGTGTCAGCAGCAACATTTTACCCCGTGTGATTTACCATGATATATGTGTGCTGGTCAGAGCCAGAACGGTAAGGTGGTGGAATCAGGATCGTCCTGCGAGCTGAGTGAGCTGATGAAACGCCGTCTGGAGAGCGTGGCCAGCACCGGAAGCTCAGCCAGCTCTGGCTTCATCGAAGATAAGAGTTACTGCGACTCTGAGGAAGAGGAAGAAGGTAAAGGCCAAGCAGATCTCAGATTGTTTTCTAGCCCAAGTCTGACGGGATGTTTCCTCCTCCTGTTCAGCAGTACAATCACAGCAGCAGGAGCCACTGTCACCCCCGCTGATTATGGGGAGGCATCTGTTTATTTCCTGTCCTGACCTGAGTGTTGCTCTTCTCTCAGGCTCCAGCTTAGGCCCGGCACGTCGGCCATGTTGTTCCTGATGTGTTATTTCTGGTTTGATAAGCTATTTACTCAGGTGGGCCAGTGGAAGAACTCTTTGGGAGTTCCTCTCTCAGACCCCTGACCAGCACACTGGGCCCACAACCACACGTTTCACCTGACATCTGAAAAATAGGAGGATTGTAATTTATTTTTTTTCACTCATCTGTAAAGGATGTTGTAAAGACAGTGTGTGTGTGTAGGAGGATACATGTACGTGACTGGATGAATTGTTAAGATGACGCGTTGTTCTCCGGGACTTTACATTTCCTCATGAAAATCATTACTGTTTATTCTTATCAGATTTATCTGACAGGTGTAATAGAGCCACTGACCACACTGACTATATTTATTTATTGTCCTAATATGCCCAGTATAAAAATCCTCATGTTCTTCTGTTTCACAGAGTCTGAGGATTTATATAAGAGAGTCCTGACTTTGGAAGATTTAATTTGCTACAGTTTCCAAGTTGCAAAAGGCATGGAGTTCTTGGCTTCGCGCAAGGTATTCACTTCTTCACACAAATCATTACAGACAGATGTATTATACTATGAACAGCAGTCTATCAGTTTTAATCACACTACCAGTCTAAAGATTGGACAGACTTTTCCAATCCATTCAGTGGAAGAGTGTCTAAACATTTGAATTATAGTGTATATATTGTGGGATTGTTTTACATGTAATTAACATGTTGTTTTGATTCAAATTTTATTCTAAATAATGAAGAATCACGGTGCTCTCCCTTGATAAACTAGCATGTTTAAAAAGTAAAGTCAGCAGTGTCCAAGTGGAAACAAATTGATTCACACTCAAAATCACATATTTTGCATGCTGAAGGTTTCTGCATTGTGAATGCGGCAAATGTCCACTTCTAAGATTTGTGTGAACCATTCTGACACGCTGTACTCAACTATTGCTGTATAATGTTGCCTCTGTACGTCCAGTGTTTTACAACTCATTCATAATTTTGGGGAGACTGGATGGGACTGATTAGCGAATGAAGCCATTGTTGTAAATACCTCATTACAGGCCACATTCTAGCCTGAATATGGAACACATCATCTTCTATTGTATATCACTGATGACTTGAGCATGTGTTGCTCTTCAAGCAGCTGTGCTTTATAGCACGGAGAGTATCACTGTGAAGTCTATTGCATACAGAAAACATGGATTAAGACTGTTTCTTCCTTTTTCATTAGTGCATCCATCGTGATTTGGCTGCACGAAACATCCTGCTTTCTGAGAATAATGTTGTAAAGATTTGTGATTTTGGACTTGCCAGAGATGTCTACAAAGATCCGGATTATGTGCGCAAAGGAGATGTAAGTTTATTCAAGTCTAGAATTGTTGCATGTTTTACTCTATTTTTCCAGCTGTCTTGTGTTCACTCCCTAACAGAGAAAATTTTCAAAACCATTTTCATTGATTGATAACAGAAAAAGAAGTGAATAAATTCAGCAGTTCTTAGAAATTTCACAAAAATAAATTAGATCAGACTAGATCAGTCTAAGCAGACTAAATAACATGCAGCTGAATCAAAGGCAGCATCTGCTCCCAGTTTAAACAGAGGTGACCGATACATACGCTGGTGAGAAAAGGCAGTAAATTATTTCTTATCTCAATACTTGTGTACAGGCTCGACTGCCACTTAAGTGGATGGCACCTGAGGCTATTTTTGACAAGATCTACACAACTCAGAGTGACGTTTGGTCCTTTGGTGTTCTCATGTGGGAGATCTTCTCTCTGGGTAAGTGTCATGGCTCAGCATTGACGACATACTGTTTAACATGCAAGGGATCTGATTGACACGCAGTTATTAAATGGGCATGGAAGTCAGTGTGTTGACTACTAGGTTCTGTTATCAGAGATGTTCAGTGAGGAGAAACCTCTAGCTTAGTGGCTTCGCTCTGTTCCCCCAGATACACAGCCTCACCAGATGCACTGGATAGTAACTGTCTTCTTCCACTGTATGACTGTGCTTTTTGGACAAAAGCCCCGTGCTTGCAGTGTCAGCCTGAGAAAACTGTTTTCAGGGTTTTCCCTGCCATAGAAAAGCTTAGGTGCAACACTTAAGTGTTTTTGCAGAGCAGCTTAATCCAAAAGAACACAGATAGGCCTTTAGGCAACATAGAATGAATGTACCCTAAAAACAGGGAGAATCCTATGCACTGACAAAAAAAATTACCAGAGTTTTGACTATATGTACAATAAGTGTTGCCAGCTTTGTACTGTCCTCACCATGAGTAGTCCGTCTTCAAAGCTAGACAGTCAGCTTACAGGGTGTAATTCCCCATAAAACCAAGGCATGACGTTTCTTGTTATTCACTGGCAAATGACTTTATTTGTTTTTTATTTATTTTTTGTAAACTGCAACAAAACACAAATGACAAACGGAAATTTGCACAACACAGTCTCACTGCTCAACATAGCCTACCGAATTAAACAGCTGGCTCATAACGATATTAGTTCTAACAAACCTCATCACAGTACACTTCCTCCTCATAATATCTAGAGAACAGCTAAACAATACGCACAGACGAATGATGTCCAAGGCACTACGCTGAGAAGTAACGGACTGTTACAACATAAACCTTGCAGGCTACAAAGTCTGACTTAACTTTCTCTCAAGTGAATGTCTCTGAAGATTACAGGTATGTGCCAAAAAATTAGAATATCGAGGAAAAGTCCATTTATATCAATAATTTGTTTCAAAAAGTGAAACTTGTATGTTATATGCTTTCTTTTAAAAAACTGTAAGGATAATGGTCAAAAAAGAGAAAAAAATGTAAAATAACTCAAATGTTCCTTGGAATAATTTCAACATCCCCAGCCACCACCACCCCTCTGACCTAGACCACACCTAAGCCCTCTGAAAACCTAGGGAGCCTGTGTTTTCATGCTACTTGTGCAAAACAAACAAAAAACATTAGCGAAGCTGGACTGTGTTGTAGTATAGACATGGAAAATTAAAATGAGAGAACGCCTACTATTTAAGCCATTTGTTTCTTTCCCATCTAGCAACACAAGCTCTCTGTAACCAAGCAGCCAGATCAGTGGAAAAGTGTGCCCCTGCTGTGAAACCACTACAGCCTTTAAGACAGCTTTGTGTGCCTGCCCATGGTTGTCTGTGCACCATGTTACAGAGCTCACCACATGTTTCAATAGCAAGACTCAGCATGAAATATTGTATGTTCTAATGCCTCAATGGGAAGCAGGAAAAGCATAGGTTTAAGTGTAAAAAGCCTGAGGGCCAGAGTTGTATATATTGTTGTGCCGTACTTTTTGACAGTGCTGCCTTTGAACCGCCACCATATGGTGTTGTCACCCACTACATTTGAGAAAAAAAAAAAAGTGTGCCAAATTGTGTATTGTTTTAAACGTAAAGCAAACTGAGGTCATTATGACACTTAGCCATTTTTCTCTCCTTCTTTTTTTTGGCCCTTTTCTTCCTCTTCTTCACTCTTGACACATTCTCACTGCATTTTCCATTAAAGAAACACTTACACATCTGGGTAGTATTAGCTGCACCTCAGAAAAATACATCAGGAAACACGGATACAAAATGGCCAAAAGCATGGCAAAGAAGTGGGCTCTGCAACGTGATCATGTTTGGAGATCAAAAGTTCCAGAGTAACTCAAGCATGTTTATCAGATCACTCTGTGAACCCATGTGTGATTTTCATTGATTGGGTTTAAATGTTCGAACCTTAGCAGTATGGTGCTGATACCAAAGGTGAACCAGGTCTGCAGTGATTTTCTCATATCATCACTGTTACCAGTACATAAGTTGGAAATGTTTTGCTAAAAAGAGATGACAAAATATTCAATCTCATCATAAAACACAGCTGAAAACTTTAGACTTATACTGAAGTTTTATATGTAAATGTCAGTGCAAATTCTGTATTTTATGAATATTCCTTTTATTTGTCTTTAGTATTCCTTATGGGTGGCTGTAAGAGGTTTTCTAAATAAATAAAACAATTAATTCACCAGTCCAGAATTAATGTGCAGCATTTTTACACAATTGGAGGAAAATATTGCACCACACCAGTTGCAGATTGTATCTTTAGTTGTTCTATAAGCCGTATCTCTTGAGAGTTCATGCTCACTGCTGAGTTAAACCTGGGGTTTCTCTGTGTAGCCACAAAAATGATTTTATATTGTGTGTTGGAATTCAAGCAAGCACACAAAAATAGTATTTAATGAGTCAAGAAATTGTTTCAATTACATGGAATAAGGAGGTGTTTTCCAAAACCAACAAAATTGGATATTGGAGAGAAGTTGTTTCAGTGCATGACTGTATGTTTTCACAGGGAGCAAAGCAGGAAGTAGACCGTATCTCTAAATTCAAGGCTTACGACCAAGTTACAATTCCCTTTTGTTTGATGAGTGATGCATTTGACAGATTCTTGACTTTGCAGTCCAAATATAACAACATTGCATATTTACTGTACATGTTATGAGTGCACCAAAGTCACAACCTAAATCACACATGCTATTGAATTCTCCAGAAATCTGGGAGGTATGGGGGTATAGTGTGTTGGTGCAGTGGTAATTCTCACCAGCGAAGGGGCGTTTCAAGTTTATGTTGCAACATTTTATAAAGCAACATGTCTTCTAATGACAGGAACCATTCGAATGTCTCACTTTTATTTTCAGTTTCAGTCTAACTGTTTCTTGCAGGTCATCACTTCAGAGTCAGAAGGTGGGCGTTAAGCCAGGAATTAGTAATGAAGTTTCTTTTAGCAAGCAGTTACTCATTTTTCTAGACACTTTCATTTAATGCATTATATCCTAATGTCATGCATTATCTGATTATTGAAATTACTTTCCTCCATCCTGCAAGCATTTGCAATTTGTGTCAATAGCTTTAATAAATCATGGCGCCCTAAGAATTTACTCTAGAGCTTTTAAAATACCTGAACAGTCTGTCAGAAAAACTATAGTAATTAGACAGGTGACAAATTTAGATTTCTGTTACATGAGTATTTTACAATGTTATATGATGCAAACTCACATTATGTAAAATATGTAAATGATGTAAACTTCGATATACTGTACATTTTTTCTATGTTTTTCATTATTTTAAGATATACTACATGTCTGGTCACACACATGGATTGTGTACGGCCTCTTTTACACACAGCAGTTAGCTTTGCAACAAACCTCTCCCCCTCGTTTCCCTCTCCCAGGTGCCTCACCTTACCCCGGCGTCCAAATTGATGAAGAATTTTGCTGCAGGCTGAAAGAGGGAACCAGGATGAGAGCACCTGAATACTCTTCCTCTGAAATGTGAGCATTCATAATAACTATATTATGACAAAATTGTGAAGAATTGTTAAACCCAGCCAGCTCTAAGCCACAAGATGTATGTTCTCCTCACAAAGAAAAGAAAATCAAGGCAGCAAGTAAAAGCCTCCCATACTGATATTCAGCTAAGAGGATGCATTGATTCTGAATTTTCCAGAAAGAAACATTAGCTACTCTCTATCTCTGCTCAGTGAGCTTGAAGCTTTGACACAGTTTCTGACTGACAGTGATGTAGCTGTACCTGAGTACTATTTTCAAAAATGATGTCTGGAGTCCAAGTTCCCCCAGTGAGGAGAGCCAGAATGGATGGTGCTAGCCATTAATATCTGTGAGACAACAGAGAGTCCCCTTCCTTGGTATCAGTCCTGTCAGTCATTGATGCAGCCAGATGAAGTTTTCTGACAGTAGGAATATTTTGGCTCTTCTGTCCAATGTCCAGCAGATCCAGACCCAACGATCACAGTCTAAGCTCTGCAACCGAGTCTCACTCTAATATTTGTGAATCTGTTGTGTCTGATTTTCATTTAGAAGGACTCTTTTGGACAAATTTAACAAATCTTGTTTGAGAGCATAGAACTGCACTTCTGCATTTTGTGTTATCAAAAGGTCTAGAGTTTTAACACAGCTTGTGCCAGCTAACTCCAACTGAATGAATGTCATCAGGTTTGCAAAGGAGCGTGTGACTGGAACCTGTACACAAAATATAATCCAGATTGTCGGTGTCAGTCACAGCATATCTGTGGATTCAGACCCAGTGGTGCCTAGAATTTCTCATTGCAGTTTAAGCACTGCACTAATGAAAACAGAGCTGCCAAATTAGGCATTTTGCCTGCTTCAGACTGTGAGGCCTCCCTCTGTAAATTCAAGAATAAACAAGCTGGTATCATCTTAAATGGGATGCACAATGGTGCACCTAGTCAGTTGGTTGAATTCCACCGATCTGGTGGAAAGGTATGCAGCTGATCACATCTGTAAGCTTGACTGTTCAGATTCTCAGTCATCCAGGTCATAGTAAGCTGAAAAAACTTATGTTTTTACATCTGTAAGCTTGAGTTTTGACACCTTGACCCTCACTCCAGATTTGTAATATATGAATGATGAAAACCACATGAGGTTGTCGGCATTGTTGAGCAATTAATTTGTCATACTCTGGTTCATCAGGAACGTTGTCTGCTCCCTGTTAACTTCCGCTGCCCTGACGCATTGCAGAGGAAGTTAGCAGATGCTGCTCAGAGAGTGTGAAGACAATAAATAGGATGTTCACTTCCCATCCGTCCACACTTGCCCAACTAGACAAAATAGCTCGGTTCTGAGGAATCCCCCCTCAAAACATCCCCCAAAACATATGGGGACCAGCTATTTATTCTCAACATAGACCAGGCAGGAAATGTGGCTTAAATTGTGTATTCATACAATGAGTCTACTTCCCACATCAGTGAAATGCATAAAGGCCGTGATCAAGCTCTCCAAATTCTGCCACAGTTAGGAGGGCTACCACCTGGATGAGCATACTCTGTGCTCACCAACATGGGAATGACTTCCACGTGGTTTTTTCAGTTTGACAAGAGGGGAGCAGAGAGGTCTAGACACCCTCCACACAAATGCAGATATAGAGGAGGGGGGATGGGAAGTATAGCAGCAGCACCCCATGTGCTTTTCCAAGTCCTTAAACCTGAGATTGACTAAATACGTTGCCAAAAAGGAATCATACTAGTGATATTTACATAAAAATGTAAGATTTCTGTGGGGAGCATGGTGTTTCTGCAACAGAAACAGGAGCGGGACCCATCATTGACTGATCCCAATCAGTAACATACTGTGAACATAATGTAAACAGCAGCTGTGGTGCTCTGTTTCTAAATTCCTCCATGAAATGAGTGTTTGAAACTCACATAAAGGCTCTGAGTCTTCCTTCACTGGCAGAGACCTGAGTGAGGCTGTGTGCACTACTTCACACACAAGACCAGGAGAGACTCAGATCCACACCCAAAGGCTCAGGATTGCCTGAAATTTGAGACCATTTGATTTAGCAGTAGACCACATGTGGTCGCTCATAGTTTGAACCTAAGATGAAAGACAAAGAGCTAGTGTCCATAGCAGTGTCCATCCTGTATGCTGAAGGCTTGTGTGTCTTTCCTACAGTGTGTGTTCAACTGTGTTTTCTTTGCTCATAGATATCAGACCATGTTGGACTGCTGGCACGGGGAGCCACAGCAGCGACCGACCTTCACTGAGCTAGTGGAAAGGCTCGGAGATTTGCTTCAAGCTAGTGTGCAACAGGTATGATAGACAAGAAAGAGAGCACGCTGTTCACACACTACATATTATTGAGTTTGATGAGAGCCCTGCAGCCTGAAGAAGATTCAGAGCAGCATCCTGGCCAGGAAGTAATACTCAACAGAACCACTTGTCTCCCCTTGAAATGACACTATCAGCCTCCTAATAGGAATCATACATGTTATTAATGACATTAGCAATAACTACTTTTAAGTCTAAGACTTGACATTGTGACGGTGAACCAGAATGTGCAATATCAGGAACCAAAAAAACAGGGGCAGCTGTCATTAATTTTATTGACACCTTTGCACCTGTACTGTGAAAAAGCCCCGGACTAGGATCTCAGCTGGGTCCAAATTATATTCAGCCTAACCGGTTCAGGTAGGGTCACTTTATATTGCTGCATTTCTCATGTCTGTGAATAAAGACAATATTAGATCCAAGCAGAGCTCTGAATACATGGTGCATCATAATCATCAATGAAGTTAATCATCATGAAATTTAAAACAATGACATGTTGCTGCTCTGTTTGACTTGGTAAATGGTCTCTTGGATGCGGTAGTCCCTTGAAGACATGGCACAAAATAGGTTATGGCCTTTGCAGAGTAACAAGGAAGGAACTGAAGCAAAATAATTTTTGGTGAAAGAATAGCAAGATGTTAATGAAATAGATGGAATGGAAGCTAAACAAAGAGGGGCCCATAGCATCAACTATCACTCATGACAGAAAATTGGTTCTACAAAACCGCATAACTTTCATTCATCAGGATCTACAAGACATCTTCCTGCCACTAAAGAGAGCAGTCTCATCCACAGTGTATATTACTGCAGGCAGGTGGGAAAATGGCCACACATCACATGCTGCATTACAAAAGCTATCATTATGAGGAACAAGTACATACTGGGCAGAATGAGCAGTGGAGAGGCATGACTCTCATTAATAAAGCTATTGTTACACTGCAGGAAGGCTGGTCACACACTCTGCCGCCTACTTCGGCTTCATAAACATTGCATCAGATTTATAATGCCTGACTTTAGTTTCTTTGGCTGCTCGCCCATGACCTGTGGGTGTCTGTGTTTGCATAGCGTGCCTTCATCATGGACCTGCTCCGGGCCTCTCATATCTTTACAATTTGCTTCATAGAAGCATAAGGCTGTGCTTTCAGATGTTCTCTCTCTGTTACTTTAGGAGGGGAAGCACTATATACCTATCAATACAGCCCTGCTGGCCAAGGTGGGAGACCCATCCACCATTGTGCCGTCAGAGGAGATGCCTACACGGCCTCTCTCTCATCGCGACTCAGGAAGCACCTGGTGAGATCATTATCATTGTTCATTGACTAATTTACATAAAACAGACACCTGAAAATCTAATGTTCTTAAAGAAATGTTGCTATTTTATATATTTCTTTGTAGTGCAGAAACTGACTAAAAGGATGGCAAAGTTGGTGTCACAGTCAGTTAATCCACCACTTTGGTCCTGGCATTTTTTGACAGCTATTGTGTGGATTGTAATGGCATTTGGTACTGATACCCACAGTGTCCAGCGATTCATCCTAATGACTGATGATTCCCTGACCTTCCCTCAAGTGCCACTGTGAGGTTGATCGTTTTGATGACTTGGGTGATGATTTTCATCTAATGCCATCATCAGGTCAACATTTTAATTTGTCCAGTACTTTGGTGCATGACCTGCAAAACATTCCCATTAGCCTCAGCTGTACTTCATGTGACAGTTACCTCTTAAGCTAATTAGGAACTGTCAGCATACCAACATAGTGAACTAAGATCATGAATATGGTAAACATTATACCTGCTAAATATCAGTACAGTACTGTCTTTGTGAACATGTTAGCTCAAAGCACAGCTTCAAAGGCTGTGGTCTCTGGTTGGCTCAAATCTGGTACATTCCTCTGTGAACTTACTGAGACATTCAAAGGAAATGCTATAAATCACTTCATCTTAAAGAAGTGCAAACCAATCCTCAGACTTTTAATGGCAAACTGTGGTGAGTCAGTATTGTGAAGGAAATGTGTAAATCAATTCCCCATTTTGCACTGAATAATGTCCCAAATAAATATTGTTCCAGTGCTACACTCAGACTAAACATTTGGGTCTGACCTGAGGACATCAAGGTACCCCGCTGGCACCTGATAAGAAATATACACACAGCAGCTTTCAATATTGTGTCTCCTGTAAGGAATTTCCCCAAAAACATAGAGCCAGCTTCAAGATTGATGTCCGCTTAAAATAATATTTGTTGAACCCTTGGGTTTTCACAGGTCCTTCAAGTGGAGGAGGTGTTGAAATGCAGCTGTGACAGTTACTCCTTAAGCTAAAGTGAGCAGTAGTTTTAGCCCCTGGGTGTTGACATACAAAGTAAACAGGGTGTATTTTCAAAGTGCAGTGTCATAGATGTTACACATTGTTGATCTAAGCTATTAAGTTCCTGTGGTTTTGTTGCTGACCTTTGCCTTTTGGGTCCAGTCTAACCAAAAGATACTCTGAGGAGAAGCAGAGCATTTTAGGGTACAGAAGTCTCACACCAGAATTTTTAATTTTTATTTTTTTTGCCAGGAACATCAAGATCTGTCCTGCTAGTGTGAAAACCTTTGATGAGGTTACCATGGAGAACAGGACAAATGAGAACTGCGGGGTGAGATAGTCATTCTAAAACTAAACCAGACACAGACTCATAATTCGTGTTTTAACTTTTTTAAACCAAGATATTAGTTAGATGAGAGACACTGGACATTTAACTAGAAGCACATCCCTGGAATATATAGAAAATCTTCATTGACAGTGGCTCGCTGGATCACCTGGGCCTAATGAAAGGTTTATAGCACATAAGCAGAATGTTTCATTCAGCCGGGGACCTTTGTTACATGTCAAACCTCTTTCTCTCCCCTCATTTCCTGTCTGCCTTTAAACATTTAAACCATCACATACAAGTGAAATTCCCTGTTTTCTTTTTTTGGTGTAATTAGTCCCCTGAAATTCTTTTTGCATTTCATGGTATTGCATGCTACTTTATGTTCACTGGTGAGTCACATTCTCTGTTTTGGAAGATGCTTTAGAAATATAATTTGCTTCCTTACATATTATATTTGTTGTTTGTTTTCTTTAAATAACTAAGAATTCAAAAATGGCATGTGGGGTTTTAATGGTCTCTTCTCCATCTGTCTCTCCATAATCACCAGGGCAGTCAGTCAGACAGCGGTATGGGACTCTCATCTGACAACATGAAGACACTGAAGCGCCTCGAATCGCTGGCAGGCCGTCCGCTGAGCATCATGGCTCTTGCGTATGTACACTACACTACACGGCACCCCCCCCCTCCCCCACGTGTGCCACGTACAGTCACACAGGAAGAGAATGAAAAATACCTGCTTGGACACCTCCTCATTGTGCTGGAATATAGATGCTATAACAAACGCACAAGTTTCTCTTGCTTTAAAAAGGAGTGTGTGACTAGTTTTCCCTTTTGTCTGAAGAAGCCAAGTGTGAGCGACAGTGGCACAAAGGAGAGGTAGGAGGAGAAAAAGCTTGAACGTGAAAAACTGATGAGCTTGAGCACAAAAGCAGAGGGAGTGCATCTCTTGATGTTTGGCTGTTTTAAGAGCACACACTAAAATCTCTGTTTTCAAATACCATCCACACTGAGTTAACTTAGAGTCATGGCTGTTTGCTGCGATGCAATGCTTCGTAACAAGACAGATCATCTCAAAGGAGTGACGAAGACAGAAATCCCCGTGAACCTTTAATGACTTTAAGATGTGGATCCTCTTACAGCCAATGTGTTCTCACTTTATAGGTTATTTAAGGATATCATCAAATCTGAGTCCAATTTCTGTAAATCTTTTTCCTAGGAGCGTCTCTGTAGGTGTTTTAAGGCTTACATATTAACTTTACAGCAGCTTGGTGGCAGGGTTAATTCACAGGGTCTAACCTCTGAACTCTGCTTGTGTCCGCAGGCCTCGGCACAGCAGAAAGAGTCAGCCCAGGCATGCAGGGAATGATCTCGATACTTTGAGGGGGGGGGGGATCTCCTTGCTGGGCAACCACTTAATTGCTACCATCTGTGAACCCGTGAGGGTTCCTGTTAGCTATAAAGCTGCGGCTGTTTTGTTTAGCACAGGTCCACCTGTTGCTCCATCGGCCTTAATTGCTCTTTTAACCTGCCTTTTTTTACTTTATTGTACAGTATTACCAGGGAAGTTGCCTGTAGCGTTGCTCTTTCTGAGCTGTCTTCCATTTCTAAAGGCTGTTGTGGGGAGTTTTCTCTTTCCAAACTGAATGTCTAAGGATGAAGGGTGTCATAACGTGGTACAGATTTTAAACTCCCTTGAGACTGATTGATTTACGATATTGAAGATAAATATTAAAATCCAAAACAACAAGTCCTTCTTGCACAAGCTCACATTCTAAACCCCATGGACGTGTTAATGCATTTTACCATAATAGATGACTAAGCTTTGGAAAAAATTGATTTTCATCATGGCTTATTTGTTTCCTGTTACTCAATAACCAATTGTACCTCCACCTTGTCCTTGGCATTGGCAAATCAGCACTGTGCTATTGTATTACTAATTTTGTGATAGACCAAAGTAGCCATTCATCTGGGCAGCATTCCAGTACAGTGACATTTCTTCCCCCCCGCTGGGCTCTGACCCTTTGCCCTCGAGAGAGAAGCTCTGGAAACCCTTAGCAACCTCCGAAGACAATAAGAGGCCATTACTAATATTCTGGGCATTAAGTGAAGCAGAAAAGCTCAGGATGATTGATTACATCAAAGATAAATGTCTGATCATACAGATTCATAAGGGGCATTTCTTAAATCACAGATTATCCAAATGGCCCTTCTGCTGTGAGGGTGATAGTTGTCTCAAAAAAAAAAAAAACATATCAAGTGCACAGCTTTTTTTTTGACTTCACCAGTTTTCACCCAGCTCAGCTTATCAGTGCAATTAGGGATGTCTGTTTATTGAGCAAGGTGGATAATGTGTCCGTTATCCAGTTACATAGCTACAGCTCTGCTTTCTGTGGACAGAACAACTAGGAGAAGCTGGATATTAATCTTGAATAATAGAGTCAACTTTTATCTATATGATTTCATAAATGTCCCTTTTCTCAGAGATTAAACTGACACCTTCAGATGGTTTGTCCAGTCAACCTAAAAATATGCAGTTTACAATTATGCTAAACAGAAAAGCATTAGATTCTCACCTGTGAGCAGCTGAAACCAGAGTATATTAGTTTATCAAAGCAGTTCATCAGTTGGCTGATTTTATGATTCATTGCTTTAAATTATGACTATAAAAGTGTCACTTTGCAGTGACAGATTATTTAGTATTTTTAGAGGTGAGTTTTTAAGCACATGGATGAATTGTGTGGTAATAGGATTAGTGTATTTATCCTGTGTCTCTTGGTGTTTTCAGGATAAAGGCAGCAAGTAAGAGTAAAGAGTCTGTGCTGACGGACACAGAGAAGAAGTACCCACCCACAGTTCCCTCTCTAGACCTCAGCCAGGACGACTCAACACTGGATGACTCGGCTCTGGACATCAGCTTGGAGTGTCACAGCCCACCACCTGACTATAACTATGTGGTGCGATACTCCACCCCTCCTGTGTAGCCTCTGGCCCTGGAGAATCTGACAGCCTTCTTTGTTCTCCTCTGCTTTGACTCTTATCTCTGGATTGCTTTTGAAGCAACGTTTAAGTGGGAGAAACATGAGATTCCATGAGAAAGTATTTAGAAAGGGTGCTCTGAAATGACTCTAACTTCTGCATCTTCCAGTTTCCAGGGTTCATGTTATGTGAAAAAGGGAAACCTGTAAACTGTTACTGTTAGTTTCCAGTTTTCAGACATAGGCCCATGTTAATGCTACTGGTCCGTCCACGTTCACTGTGATAACTCAAACCGATTACTGGAAAGTAATTTACTGTAAAAAGTAAATTACTGGAAAGTAATTTGTTTGTAAAGCTAAAGAGAAGCTCTTTTTGTAATGCAGGAAAGAAGGTTGGCTAAAGTTTAAAAACATATTAATTAGTAATTTTGAGGAGTCTCTTATTTGAAATATGATCGCTCCTGGAGAGGGGTGCTCTGTCCCTCATGTGGTGGTGGATGTGTTTAGGTCATGGGAATCACCGGTTAATGGAGGAAACAGGGTAAAGCTGAGAGTGAGACCAGATGGCATTTAACATTACAGCTTGACCATGAAGGTGTTTAAGTGAGGAGTTACTGTATATGTAGAGTCCTCCTCCAGACTCAATCTGGTAATGAAGAAGATCACATTTTTGTTTGGTTAAACTAAAACAGATGTGACAAGGAAACCAGATTTGTTGGTTTTATTGCGTACAAACTGAGTTAGAAACACAAGTTTAGAGTAAGATTTCAGGAACAGTTTATTCAAAACCACTAGTAAAGCAAATTGTGTATTTATTTAGATTGTAGACACTGTCACTTAGTAATCCACCTCTGTTTGTTCATTTAGATTCATATTTAACAGTTAACCAAAGTATTTTCCAGCTCAGTCTTCCTGATATCAGTATGTAATATCCCAGTGTTTAATTCCAGACTTATGTGCCATTTGTGCTGCTGTATTCACTGACATGAAACATGTACAGGTGGGTGATAAATCCGAGGAAAACCCTGAATGAATGAGTGGGTCACTGATTAATCTGCTGAATATTTTCTTGATTATTTGGTTTATCTTTTCATTCACAGAATATCAAACATTGAGATAAATCCCCATTTTGATGCTCCAGAGTCAAAAGCAGTGCTTTGTATCAAATGTGCTCATTTGTCTGCCCAGCAAAACCAAATATATTCAGTTTATTATAATTTATGACAAAGAAAATCATCCGTTCCTCACATCAGTGATTTTTGCTTCATAATACCTGCCAGTAAATTTACCATCAGTGAACTGACTAATGGTTGCAGCTCTAGGCGACCGAATGGCTTAATGAGTATGAAAAGTTGCGTTGAACCCAGTGAGAGAGAAAGATGTTTCCCCCCTGCACCTGAAGACACTTTACTAAAAAAGTCTGTGTTCACTTTGTGCTAGTTTTTCCTCTGATTTATCACCCATGTGTACATGGATATTCTCTGTCCTCCGTCTTGTGCTAAGTGGAAAAGCGTGCAGGGCAGGCTACAGTTACTCTGCATGTGTGATGTTTGTAGGCACTAGTCTGCTCTGGTTCAGTTACGCATTAACATGGAAAATCCCCACTTTATCCTTGTTTGTAGTACAGCAGGCATTGAATGTACTGTGGACCAAACCTTCATTTGCACTCACATGTTACTGAACACACACCCTGCAGAAATGTGGCAAGCTTGTGTTTGTTGAGAAATCAGTATTGTCAGTGAGTAAACTACAGTATAAAGTGAGTATTTGTGGACCAATTTGTTCTGTTCTGCACTGATACGTATAATTTCTGTATTCTTAAGGTATGTTATTGTGAACAATGTTGAGGTCACATGTTACAAAGCTTTCTGATTTTATTTTACTCTAACTTTAGTACATACCGCAGTAAGAAATTAACATTTTCAGTGTTTTTTATTATTTCTTGCCATCCTAACATCACCATGTTCACTGCTTATAATTATGTCTAAAATTTGGTTCTGTTAATTTAGTTAGTTTTTTGTTTTTGTTCATGTAGTTCAGCAAGTTAATGAAGTAATGTTCCCAGCACTGTTACCTGAGCATACTGTATGAAGTAAATAAATGAATAAAGATGATATATTTATACATTACTTGCAGTGTCATCTAACAGTTGCTTGAATTACCTACATAAGGGAGACAGATTTCTCCTCATCACTGCTGTATGGCCTTTACTCTCAACTCTCAACTCAACTCAACTTTATTTATATAGCGCTTTACCACTGCACAGCTGACCAAAGCACTTAACATACCATACAAATCTAAAATCAACACATAAAAAAATATAAACAATAAAATAAACACTCTAACACTACAGACAGAGTCTCATTCCTGGCCAAACGCCAATGAATACAAGTAGGTCTTCAAATAAGACTTAAAAATAGACAACGAGGGGGCCTGCCTAATATAAACCGGTAAAGCATTCCACAGGTTTGGACCCACCACAGCAAAGGCTCTATCCCTCCTCGTTTTACGCCTGGCCCTCGGTGCCTCCAGAAGAAGCTGATCAGCTGATCTGAGGCACCACGACAGATTATACGGACGCAAAAGTTCCACGAGATAAGATGGTGGCAGCCCATTTAAGGACTTATAAACAAATAAAAGTCTTAAAACAAACCCTAAAATGCACCGGAAGCCAATGGAGAGATGCCAGCACGGGCGTTATGTGGTCCCTTTAGAGGTTTGTCCACCAATGATTCCCAGAGGACAAACCCTGGTGACCTTAATGATCCCTTCGCTTTTCTTCTAGTGCCACCATGAGGTTGATATTTGTGGTTCAGAATCAAACATCTTGAGAAATACTGGATGGAATACTTTGCAATTTAGTGCCAACATTCACAGTATCTGTAGATGTGACTTTCCATCTAGTGCTTGATCAATCAGCCTCACAGCACCACAGAGCTGCTAGCATATGATCATTTTGCTTAATATTATAAAAATAATCAACAATCTACCTGAAAGCCGTAGAGCTGTAAACATTCTGTGCATAATTTATTCTGTTATTCAGAGAGCATTACACACATGCTCTTCCTGAAACTCAGAGCAAACAAAGAATGATCCTCCCCACACATTTTTTTTTGCATTTAAATAGTTTTTCTTAAAGAAATACAGTGGGTACAAAAAGTATTCAGACCCCGTTAAATTTTTCACTCTTTGTTATATTGCAGCCATATGCTAAAATCATTTAAGTTCATTTTTTTCCTCATTAATGTACACACAGCACCCCATATTGACAGAAAAACACAGAATTTTTGCAGATTTATTAAAAAAGAAAAACTGAAATATCACATGGTCATAAGTATTCAGACCCTTTGCTGTGACATTCATATATTTAACTTAGGTGCTGTCCATTTCTTCTGATCATCCCTGAGATGGTTCTACACCTTCATTTGAGTCCAGCTGTGTTTGATTATACTGATTGACCGTGATTAGGAAAGCCACCCACCTGTCTATATAAGACCCTACAGCTCACAGTGCACGTCAGAGCAAATGAGAATCATGAGGTCAAAGGAACTGCCTGAAGAGCTCAGAGACAGAACTGTGGCAAGGCACAGATCTGGCCAAGGTTACAAAAAAAATTTCTGCTGCACTTAAGGTTCCTAAGAGCACAGTGACCTCCATAATCCTTAAATGGAAGACGTTTGGGACGACCAGAACCCTTACTAGAGCTGGCCGTCC